TAAATTTGAATTTTTACTGAAATAGTTCCGAAGTATTTGATTTACATTTGGAATTCTTGTATAAATTTGGCAATTTCGCAACGAATGACTGTTGAGAGTCGAGGCGTCTTCGCCGAGCGAAGTCTGCGCGCCGCGTAAGTGAAGATTCGACGTCGGACTGATTTCCCTGGAGCTCGACCACAATGCAATGCACTATCTACTCTATAAGTCTAAGCATTTCTCTCGGTTTTTCCTCTGTTAACTCTAAGCAGGGCACGCATACAAAGCGTCATCTAAACCTGCCATTCGGGCGGATAGCCAGAATTAGTACCGATGCCAGATTTGGTCAATGTTTGTTACACCTGGTATGCTTTGACATTCGTACAACCATCTACCTATGAACATGAAACGTCTTCGGAGGAAATTTCGTGTTTCTACGGGCGCACGCACGCAATGCACGCCGGCGAGGGTAGCGTAATGCGCCAAAACCGGGAACGGAAACTATTTGCAGTTTGCTGGCGTGGGTCGGGCGCTTTCGGCCCAATCGCCGATATTCGCCGGCAGCGAAATGAGATTTTTCAATAGTGCACAATTTCCACCTTAAGTGTTATTGCGGAACGCCATCCGTAGTTTCCCCATGCCCCATGCATCTTCAATCATCATCAAATTAAAAATCAAAACTAATATTATTATTCGCGGGCACAGGCACTGTACCAATTTATTAATTTCACGTGGCATGTAACATAGACTCTTGACATGCACGACCGGTCGGCAATGTCCGAGCAGATCTAATCTAGCGCACTTGAGCGTTGGATGTAAATCATAATTATCGTTACGAACACAAGTTGATGAATTAATTAATAATAGATGACGCATGGCCAGTGGCGGTGGGCGCGTATACACATTGCGGCTGAAATGACGATCGTCCAGAGACACGTAATACGTAATATTCGTACGATGAGACGGCAATATTGCAAGTAATAAAACGCAATAATAATAATAACGCCCGCCGCGGTCAACGGAGGCGCAGGTCATCAAAACTGTCCGAAAACGAATGGATCCACACATCACGCGCGACACCCGCTTTACATACCCTCACACACGCCGCCACCGGAAAAGGCAATTCGTTTAAGTGTGGCGAGCGTAGCACTGCCGGACTTTGAGTATTTCGACATTGGCGTGGTTGGCGTGGTTGGCCACCGGGTAAACGGGTGAAAATAAAAATAAAAAACGACCACGGCGCAAATGTTTTTCGGGGGGCGGCTGGTTTATGGCGGGCCGGGGTCGAGCCGAGATGACCACCAGGCCCCGCGTCCACATGACGCGACATTAAATATGCATTCGTTTTTGCCGGGTGGTGCGCCCCGGCAAGAAAGCGCACGCATCAAATATTGATACAAATTGCCGCATTGCAACTTATTGCCCGCGCACGAAGAAGACGCGCGCACGATACCGCTATTCAACCGGCGGCCCGAAGAGGTTTCAACAACAACAACAACCCAGCCAGCCGACAATAACCGCACTTGCTCGGTGAATATACGACCCCCGCCCGAATAAGATCTACAATAAGACCCTATCCACAATAGAACAGAAAACAGAAATAAAACGCGTATTTGGCAAAAAATAATTGTTGTTCTCGATGTTATTATAATAAAAGGCAGGTAAGTAGAGACAATAACAAACTTGTTTCCCGGCGGCGAGTAAATTATAAAGAAAATAGCGACGGCACGGCATGAATAGCATGTCGATTTGACATGTAAATACACGAATTATGTCCTACGCTCTCGTCAATTGTTAATCAATGCCAGCTAAAGACGGATGCGATGACCGGCTCGCTTGTCACGGTTCGTCAAGTCACGGAAGACGAGCAAAACTCATTTAATCGTTTGCTGTTTCTATATTTATCTACAGTTTGTTTTCTAGCAGACAAAAACCCGCTAAACTTATTTGCGTTTCCGGAAAAATCTCCTTTTGTTTTAATGGTGAATTGGTGCGGTTTGTTGCAAAGCAGGTAGTTTGTGAATATGATGATTAATAAAAGTTTAATGATGTAGTGATGTTCGCGCAAACTGCGAACAAGCGCGTGTGTGGGTGGGAGCTTTCTTTTTTTTTTCTGCACTTTACTCGTCGTTTTTGTTGTTTGTCGAGGCGAGTGGCGAGTTGATAGCAGGTGACATGCTCTTTTTGCGCAAAACTTTGCAAACTGTTCCGTGACATGCTAATTTTTTGCATGCATCGCATGTAATGCGCGTCATTTTAAATTACAGACGATTGTATTGTTGTGAAACTTGGTTTTAAAACGAGTGTATGTATCAGTAAAGTACAGATAATTGACTGGAAATCTACTATAATAAAAAAGTGGATATAGGGGAGGGGGGGGGGGCAAAGTGGGTCCCAAAAGCGTTCACTCGTTACATCAAAATATCAAAATAAAAAAATTCAGAATATGGGGCAAAGTGGGCCCCCAGCCATAAAAATTTTGCTATTACCTTAGTATCAATTTTTTGCTTATATTATTCTTTTTTTTCATTTCTTACTTCGAATTTGTTGATGTGAGTTATTTTCCCCTCTTATTTATCAAAAATTTTAGGGGGCCCACTTTGCCCCTCAGTTTTTTAAGCCACCTGAATTTCAGGGGCCCACTTTGCCTCTCCTAAATATTTTTTGTGTAGTTTTGTAGATCTTAGCAAGTACAATACGTGCTTACTTAGGTTGATTACTCCTCATTTTACATTACATTGTACAGTTGTTAAAATAGGCAAAACATGGCTAATTTTATTTATTAATTTAAATTTACAAAGTAAAATATGAAAAATATAGCTTTTATTAAATTTCCCGATTTCCAAAAATTTATGCATTTTGACTCAAAATGTTCTAAGCTTTTTTATAGCTAGATAATTACTGAAATAGATTAAGCAACTATTTTTCTATGATAACGTTAGATTACCACTAAAATTTGTGTAAAGATATTTTAGATATAAGGTGTTTTCTTAAACACATTTTATAAATTTCCAAAAATTTGTCAACTTTGAAACGCTTTTGAAGCTGTTTTTGCGACAATATCCAAATTAATTTATACTATATCTATTAAACAACTCTTTTTCTATCAGATTATAAAGCTTTTTGCCAATTTTTTAAGGATCTCAAAGAATTCTAACAGAAGTAAAAATAACTTTAAGTAAAAAAGTCAAAAACTATTTTTTTTGTTTTTCGGTCAAATATCAATCCGCTTCATGACAAATTCTAATATAATTTTTATTAAAATACATGTAAACCGTAAAAATAATTTTATTTTAATTTCTAAATTTCGTATTTTAATTTATTACTCGAATTATATTCAAATTTAATTTTGTCTATTCATAACATTTTGAAAACATGTGTAATTTATTGTACGTTTATGGCATGTACTCAGCCGATCAATAAAAAATTGCATTATTCAAATGATGACTCACGTATTAATTATGTTATTTTTTCCTCGTGCGCTTCACATATCGCACCTGTTTGCGAAAATAATGACTGCGGCCGCAATTTCGTTGTGAACTTGCGCCAACTCGCACATTGTTATGATAATACTAACCTATGCCACTATTGTTAATGCTCATTCAGTCGATACAGTCATAGGTAATCCCTCTTTAATATTTCCAAGATTTCAATAAATCAATATATTTTTATGCAATATGTCTAGGATTCTTGGTGAAAAAATTAAAAATGAGAAAAATGACAAAATGATTCAAATCCCTACTAATATTATAAATACGAAAGTCCTGATGTGTGTTACACTTTCACGCAAAAACTACTTAATCGATCATCATGAAAATTTGTACACATATATTTAGTAGTCCCCGAATGGTTATAGGCTACTTTTTATTTAATAAAGAAAATTATTTTTAAAATAAAATAAAGAAATTGTTTAGCCAATAATACCTCTGCATCTGGCTATTTGACTACTTTAACGCCATCTAGCATTCCAGCAATGAAGTTCAAACCAAAGTACTATAGTACCATCACACTGTATTATCACACTGTATTACCGACAGCTACGTCAACATCAAATCCAATTGACTACACTATGGAGACTGTACACTATACTTCCATAGACTATACTTTCAGCCATTTTAAACTTCCCGCCATTCTACTTCATTGTTACTTACGGAAGCAACTTCATTATTTTAGATATTCGCGAGCAAAGCCGCGGGTTAAAGCTAGTTATAAAATAAATTCCAATCACGAAGTGAATTAAAATTAAAATGAAATTTGGTGTATCATGCGCCATCTATTGACCACTTTCTTTACTTATGCTACTAGTCCCCTCTTTTCTATAGAGTTGCCTTGAAAACAACGCCATTGAAATAAATTTGTATCCTATGCTTATCTAGATGGCAAAGTCCACATCTTTAACATAATTTCCTCCATGATTTAAAAACTATATTTAAAGAAAATCAATGAATAATAACTATATTGCACCATCGCAATTAGATCTATGTTAATGAAAGACTGTAAACTCCAGAATAACTATTTTAATAACGTCTTTTTCACTTTTCAATTTATTAAAACTTGTTGCTCACATTCCTTCAACTCCACAAGAATGCGACAAAAAAAAGTGTTGACAAATAGTTTGAACATCAAGGTCTGCGGAACTTTAGGGGAGTGAACAACGCCTCAACTTGCAGGAAATGCTCGTAAACAGCCCGCGAGCTTGTGCTTTAGATAAAGCGCATGCTTGCCGTGCCCCAAACCCAATGGAACAATCAATAAAGTTGTGTGAAAATTCATAGACGTAGCTGTAACTTTCACATGAATATTGATTACCACCAACTAATACATCAGATTACAAGAAACATCCTCATATTAAAAGGGTAATAAATCAATTCCTGCATTGATATTTGATCAAAAAACATAATTCTTCAATAGAAAAACGTGTAATATTTTTAGTCGCGCCACTGGTTTTCTATCCAAGCAAATTCTCTTTGCCTTTCCTCCTGCTGGCTTCGTACGCCTGCTAGTCCGCGGCTCGCGAGAAGCTAGTACAGTTAGTACTGGTTAGTACTCTTTCGATTACATCGCAACGACGACGTGTCTCCCATTAGCGGATCCGCGCTTCAACTCTCGCGCGCGCGCGTCTATTCATTCCACCGATTCATTCCGTCGCGCCACCCACGGAAACAAAACGCGCTCACCGTTTTCCGCACGTCACACACGGTTTTTCACGCTGTCAGACATCGCACATCTCCACATTTACACGCATTTTACATCGCAAAGACAACGTGCGAGAACTGAATTCCACCAGTCGACACGCACACGAAAATTTAATGCGGCCTAATCGCGCTCATCAGCACCGGGTTGGAAAAATTTAAAAAAGGAAAATTGTGACGCGAACCAAACAAACGTCAATATACATCGTACAAATACAAACAGTGTGAAACTATTTCGTCGAATAAAAATTACGTGCGCTCAGAATCCGAGTGGAGAAAGTGAATTAGATAGGGTGCAGCATCAGCAATGGAGTTCCGCTTTGGAGTCAACGAGATATTCCAGCAGCCGATTGTCGAGATAGGGCACACACTAATTCCGGCCGGTTTCAAGGGTGACAGGCGACAATTATGGTAAGACAATAGACACCCTCATACAGAAAAATCAATGACCATTCATAAACTGTGCCATTTTTAATGATGATGCGCAAGGTGGAAGAGGATGAGTCATGTTGTGAACACCTAATTGAAAGACTGACTCGTTTATGCAAATATGCCCCACGAGGGCGGATTCGTTTACCACGCGATGCGCAACGAAATAATTGTTTACGTGATTAATTTCGGGATGAAAATGACAAATTAATTACGTCCGCAACAGGCCACAATATTAAGTATTTTATAAACACACTCATTGCCAGCCGGCTGTTTGACATATTCACATAATGTCGTCTCATTCGACACGCACACGCCGAAACAAACGGTGTGACGAAACCAATCTAAATATACCCACATGAACGCGCTCCTGCAATCATTTACCTTCTTTTTCGGTTCTTTATACCAGACATAATCTAAACACGTAATATGACATTAAGATACATGTTTACGTCTTGCAAAAAATCATTTAGAAAGTTGATTATGTAAGTTTAAGCAATTTTTTTATATAAATAAGAATTATTTTTCTGTCAATAGTAATTTATTTAATTGATCATCATATTGTCAATGAACTTATCATTCAACTTGAAACATGAGGTCTATCTAGTCTCATGTCACTCAAGCGTTACGTATTTACTCGTACTCGTACTCATACAACCTGTTCGTATTCATGTCCATAAACGGTGCACTTGTACGATCTACACTTGCCACTTGCTCAAAATGGCATTCATCCTGTCGCTGCATAAGTCAATGGAATGGAATTCCTTGACTGATGCACATTTTGTTTGCTTTTGTTCTTGAGGAAGTCTCTTACTTAGTGTGTCATGATCATGACCAAAAATGTATTTCAATGCTATTAGCTCAATGTCTTCCAGAATTTAATACACAAATCACGCATGTGAATACAATTTATTCTCGCCTATAGAATGTTTATGAACTATAATAAATTCCACAATGAATTATCTCTAGTAAAGTGAAATAGTAAGACAAACAAAGAATAAAGTTACAATAGGAATGCACACGGCGTAACCGGATAACGGAACACACTTTAACTCTCAGAATAGAAAAGTCTAGGAATTACAAAAACGTTTTAAACATTTCGGTGAGAATAGAAGCGTTAAACTCTGCCAGGTAGGATTTAATCATAATCTAAATCATACAAACATTGCTCAACGACTAGGTAAATAATAAACACCGAGAATATGTGTTTGTAATCACAAATAAAGTGGTTTGTAAATTGTGTGTCTATATAATTCGCTAATAGCATTCGTGATAACATGTTTAATTATTATTCATAAATTTTTGACTGCTTGACCTTGCCTGGTTGTAATCAGCGAGTCATACTTATACAACGTTGAACAAGGCGACGACATCTTGTTTGATGAATAATCATTAAAACCGAAAAATGCGCTTAGAGGTGGCAACTATGTGCTGGATGTTTAAAAAACATTGAATCACGATTTATCATACATCATACACGCGATTTGTGTATTCAAATGTTGCTATTTAACCTTGACACGTACGAAAACGTGCGAGACTATTTTAATATCGTACACCGATCACAACAATCAAGAAACATGAAAAATGGATATTATTCGGGTTTAGTGCAAATAACAAACTAAAATTACCGACATAAGTATTGTGCTTACATAGATTTTTTAATTTCGCGCGTTACAAGTTATGACTCATGCCCGCACGCTGACTTTCTAATTGCACAAAGACGAAATTAAATCCCGTAATAATTGCGCACGTTTCCAGTGTGCGTTTCCTTCTATAGTTAATTTTGTGTTGTGTTGTTGTGGATTTTTTTCTTGTATATAATACGATTTGAATTAACTTTATGCTTAAGAGATGCGCGCATGCGTAGTGCTCGCTTTGCTTGGCGGCTTCCTGACGAACTGTGAATTTGACCAAGTGCTCGCCGAGCATGACCACAATTCACAACCTGCTGGTAAACACCGCAGTCTGCAGGTGCGCAGCGGCAGTATTTCCTCGCCGTGATTCACATTGGTCGTGGCTTTCGCGAGCGTCTTCGCTGGAAATGAACGCGTTTGGTTAGGTTACGCTCTCATTCCGTTGCTCAGCCATTACTCGATTACTATTCCAAGCTTAGCGATGCTCTACAATTAAGTCGGAATCGGAATGTGTGGCCGATCGTAGCACGTTTCGATCATTATCATTTGTGATTTAATTTTAATGCCGCACAAAGACAACTTATCTTTTTATTTAATGTTTATGGCAGAAAAGTCATTTCCCTAGTTTCTTTATTTGTGGGTTTTATGCTCGGCAGGCGTAAAGTTGTCGGTCGTTCTGCTTGCAGGCACTGATTGAGTCAGATTGTCGATGGAAAGTCGCATTTCCGTTTGGCGCGTTTTTATTTTTAACCACGACTGCAAGATGTTGAAAAACGTACATAATTTAAGTTTATCGCCAAGCTTTCAACTGTAAAATCTATTCACAAGTTGCAAGAGGAAAATGCAGTGTCATAAAATTAGTAATTTCGTTTATGTTTCCGACGTTGAAATACCCGGCTGACGTTATGATTTTTTGTTTCAGGGACTCAATTACCAAGGTGACTGATGTGGTGAATGCACTTGGGGCTGCTTCGGCGAATGCCCAGGGATTGACCAGGCCCATTACCACTTCCGATCGTTTGAGGAACAGCGAGCAACAAATTTTATATCTGCTTATTGATTCAACTGCCAATCAGTAAGTTAATGTTAGAAGTTTTTTGATTTTTTGATGTAGAATACAAATGGCTACCATGGTCTTAGAACCCGAAGTAATATACTAGACACCTAGCCATTAAATTATTAATACGGATAGAAAACAATAATTAAATGATTCATACCATGATTATTTCGCGTTTTTTAGAAACCTGCAATTATCATGATATAATATACAATTATCTTCCGCAAAAGGCGATTAATCGAGGTGAAATGATGGTTCGATTATTGTATTATCGAATATTGTTGCCGTGAATCAAATGGAATGTGCATTATCACCTAATAAATTTCACCTCTTGCTTATGTAGTTGGTATGTACTTGGGAAAAGTTGCTTTCGACACGCAACGCACGAGGTTTATTTAGTTTGCTTGTTGTTTGGCCGCCTTTGAAAAGTTTGCTCGTTTGGTGAACTTAATTGAAGCTGTCGTGCGAATTGCCATCCGAATTGCTTCGTATATTACAAGTCGAATTATTTAATTAACTCTGTTGTGGAATTTATGGCTATACAAATTTCCTATTATGCGCCATTGAAACGTGTGTGTGCCTCTTTTTTTTCCCTTTTCCTATTTTGGCATTTCCTTGGCATCTTATCTGATTGAAATCGAAATCAAGTTGGCGCGGGCCACTAGGGCTTACCAGTGACCGCGCGGTCGTAAATTTTTCCGCTTTTCACTCTACAGGAAGACTAATCAATTCGGGGCGCACAAAAAGTGCAATAGAATTGCGTGCACGAATGTAACGAAATAAAATATACTTCTATGGTACTCATTTTAATGTCATTAGGCCCAACTTGAGAAGTTGTGTAAATGTTTGCGAATAATGTCGATATACGTTTTTATGTAGATTGTGTTCTAATTATGTTGATTGCAGTATGTATTGCTTTGGTTTTAACGATTCTGAATATAAATGAAGCCCACACTATAATTTGAATATATTTAATACTAAACTTGTATTGTTATGGATTACAGGCGCTTATAAATTTTTTTTGTCAAGTTTTTTCCACATTCTATATTTCTTTTGTGATAATAATGTCACTTTGTGCCCATTGTCATAAAAATAATCACTGTTGCGCTTTCTAAGTTTACGTTTAAATTCAAAATGATGAAAAGATAACTTTAATGATGATTTAATTGCTTGGAATAAATATAAACATCTTCAACGAATATTTCCCATTTGTGAAAGTTTCTCACTTATATTTTTAGTTTTTGAAATTTTTTTTGTTCACACAGTGTAATATCTGTACTTTCATATTACTCACATGAAAAACCGTTATGTTTAGCTTTTGACACGCTCGACTTTTAGAAACGTGCGAATGTTCCCGCATTTAAATTAATTTCAGGTCAGGTTGTAATATTATTAGATAAAACAATACTTATCGATTTTTAGATAATGTGATTATGCAGTAAATCATCTTTTGGGCGTTTAGGGTGTATCCAGGGCATAGCATAGTTTCCATAATGCGGATAATATGTGCCACGATACAATGAAAATGTTACCGTTTATTTTGTGCTCATTTCCGTCGTGTTGCCATAAATATTTGATGAGAAAATATTTAAAATGTGTTTATGTTGTTTAACTATGGGCGGAATGAGGACTAATTTAACGAAATAGTGGACAGATCATTGAACTTATTTGAAGAAAAAAGATAATAAATAATTAATATTTATCTCTCGGTTTATATCTATTTATATAGTTTAGTAGAACAAGAGCTAAACTAGAAATGTGTGAGTGAAACGTGTTCTCCAATAATAACGAGATGCATTTTTGATTAGAACACCTGTCATTGATTAAAAATAAATACACATCCAGTGGGAATATTAGAAATTATTTGGGTCTTGAAGAAAGTGGCAAACATAACAATTAATACCTAATTGCCAGCGAGAAAATTACCATGACAGAATCAAATGACCATGATTAGTCCAGCATGCAGGTTGCACACGTACAAGATAATTCCGGGAAAGTCTAGTCGTAAATTAAATATGAATGTCGAGTTTGCGCTACATGCTGTGGTGCGATATTAGCACAATTTTATTAATATGTATTGATTGATTGCAGAGGCAAGGGTGCTGTGACGGGCATGCTGAAAACGGGTCGCAAAGCGTTGTACGTCTTTGATCGCGACGGGCATCACTATCAGGTGCAAGCGCCGTGCATACTCGACTTTTATGTGCACGAATCACGCCAGCGGAGCGGCCTGGGCAAGAAACTCTTCGAGTATATGCTGCAGGTGAGTACAACAAAAGAATTGCGATTTGCGAAAGAAAAGAAATAGTACGTAATTTGCTGCAATCCTGCCATTGGCAATCTTGTAACTACTCTTGAGTTGGAGTTCTTATGAATGGCGAATGCGAATGAAAAGCAAGAATGGCGTAGGAGTGTGGGGAGTCATGCAATGCTAATACACGCATGAGGCTTTAGCGAATGTTTTTCTTTCTAGTGTTTATTATGTGTATTTTGTGGCATGCACGCACTTGTTTCGACCGGTCCGCAAAATGTGTATAACGCGAATTAAATTATCTAATCGATAAAATTTCGAACGTTGACTTGTGCAGTATACAGTGTAGCCAATACATGGAGGAACAAAAAATATTCAAATTTTGTTTATGCTAGTATTACTCAAATATAAATATGTACCGAGAAATCCCTACTAATATTATAAATGCGAATGTCCTGATGTTTGTTACACTTTCACGCAAAAACTACTTAACCGATCATCATGAAAATTTGTACACATATTCTTAGTGGTCCTCGAATGGTTATAGGCTACTTTTTATTTAATAAAAAAAATTATTTTAAAAATAAAATAAAGAAATAGTTTAGCCAATAATACCTCTGCATCTGGCTATTTGACTACTTTAACGCCATCTAGCATTCCAGCAATGAAGCTCAAACCTAAGTACTATAGTACCATCACACTGTATTATCACACTGTATTACCGACAGCTACGTCAACATCAAATCCAATTGACTACACTATGGAGACTGTACACTATACTTCCATAGACTATACTTTCAGCCATTTTAAACTTCCCGCCATTCTACTTCATTGTTACTTCTTCTGTGACTACAAACGCGTACGGAAGCAACTTCATTATTTTAAATATTCGCGAGCGAAGCCGCGGGATAAAGCTAGTATTTAATATTTGAAGTCTAAGTGTATTCACACAAATAGAAGAAATTTAACCGCTTATGACGTTTGTCCTCTGTCGTAGAATCTAATTTATCTGACATAATTAACATCATATTGTGACAGACGTTCTATATTAGATAATTTATTAGTTATAAATTAGTTATGATTTATAATAGAACCCATTTTATCAAGCATAATAAAAAACTAGAACGCATTGCTTGGTACAAGCTATCCCAACCCCTATCAATCGTTTGATAGTTGTTTTGCTTTGTTAAAAATACAACCCAAACTATTTTCGATTAAACTTTCTCGATTTTTAAATACTAATAGGCCAAGGTGAAACAGCATTTGCGTGTCAATAGACTATAGCTGTATTAAACACATCATTTGCAGAATCTCATTTACAATTTAATGCACGCTGGCGCATCAAATCGCTAAGAATACATATGCATGATACACGTGTTATCCGGTACATTGCCCATATGCCTCCATGTTTGTTTGATATGTAAATCGGTAAATTGCAAATGGCAGATTGCGATGCAATGATTTCCATGTTGGTATCTCGTGGTACTAGGTCGTAACACGAAAAATAGTTCAATGTCAATGGGTCATAATGGTAATTCAGTACAAATGCGTACCAGGAATTAATGTATTTGTTTCTCGTACCAGCGAGAAGAGGTGGACGCGAAACGGCTGGCAATCGACAGACCAAGCGACAAATTCCTGGCCTTCCTCAACAAGCACTACCAGCTCACCAGTCCGATACGACAAATGAATAATTTTGTGGTTTACGATGGGTTCTTCCCCAAGGATGAGACTAAAGAAAGGCAACAAGCTAAACAAAATGGGTATGACTTCGGTTTTCTTTACACTGACAATAATCGATAATTAATAAATCATTAAAAATAGGGACGTTCCGCATAAAGGATCTAATGGTTTGCAAGCTCAAATTCTAACATCACCCTATGGTCGCTACGGCGCACCACGGCCAATGTGCAGCATGGGACAGGTATAAATGCAAACAGCAAACATTTCATCATGGCGCTAATTATGATTAATTTTGCATTAATCTTTTATATAACTGACCTTGAAACTTTTGCTTAGATAATCCATAATCAATCGTCAACTGTAAGCGGCAGTGAGCAAACTGGGTAAGTATCCATACTAGTAACAAGAGTTTCATATTTTTTGTATTGCGTTTTTGATTAACTTTCATTTTGCATGTGCGCATGTGCATGGCTTGTTTCACTAATCAGTACAGGGTGTTCCCTTCCCTACGCTCAAGAAAATTCCTTTCCCCCACAAATAAACGCTGATGGAAATCGGTAAGTGGTTGCCCCCCTGTCACAAATATTCCTATCCCCTTTGATAACACGACGTCGTTGGTGTAGCGAGCAGCAACAAATACCGCAGGCACCCTTGCAGCCGCTACAGCAAAATGAGGTTTCAGCGACTTCCGACGGCGCTCCCATTTCACCCCCAGTTCAATGCGCGGTGGTGGAACCGTTAAACAATGCAAGTCAAGATCATACCTCCGAAGGAAATAATGCCCAAAATGCGCAGGAGTTGAATAATTGTAAGATTGCTAAGACGCAGGCCGTGGGCAATGGCATGTCGGATGATTCGGAGGTTGTACGCTTGGAACGACTGACACGTGTCAATTCTGCACCCGCGCATGGCACACAAAATGAACCCGAAGTGAAAGCTAGGAATGAAGGTCTTTACTGGCCGTTTTCGATGCCCACACAGGATTATGTTTATGAAAAGCGGTTTCATCATGAACCCATTCCTACCATAGCAACCGGGATACACAAAGTGCTACAACCTGATCAGTATGTGTTGAAGAAACAGGTGGCCCCCGCCAAAGAAGAGGTGGACAAGTATGGTCGACCAAGGATTACGAGAGCCGCTAGTGCTCAGCCAAATCATTACCATAATCACTACCATCAACAACACATGCAGCAATACCAACAGCCAATGCCATATAATAATAATTTAACTAGTTATAATTATTATGCGTCGAGGCCTTCCCCCCGTCAGAATCAATATGATATGCAACAAATGTATAATCAACAAATGCATCAAAAGAAGCAAGAACAGCAATATATGTATGATCAAATGCAGCAGCAGATGTGGGACAGTTATCAAAATTGGTTACAGACTCAGTATATGAAGCAATATGCTCAATGGTACCAGCAAAACCATCAGTACCAACAGAAGTATGATTTGCCAAAACAACCAGCGGAAACAGCTCCTGTTTCTCAAGTTACTCCTCAAACAGATGTTCCTACTTCCCAGCAACCTGAACCTACACCTATCAAACAGGAAGTGGTACAACCAGAGAAACTGTTAGCGCAGCAACCCATGCAATGCGCGCTACGACCCTTCTACTGGCAGCCTAAGATGAATCATGTCATTATCAAACCTCATCCTGAAAAGGAGAATGCCCAGGTCACATCTCTGCCTAGTCATGTTCCTCTATATCCACAAGGAAATGCGAATATGTATGATCCTGCCTATTATCAACCTATGTACCAACAGATCCCACAAACACAACCACAACCACAACAACTACAACCAACCTCTTCAAAGGTGGTACCATCAGTACCTGACACTTCTAATGCCGAAAATAACCAAAAAGTAGCGTCTTTACAATCCTTACCCCCGGTTCATTCAGATCCCTCACAGATGATTCAACAACCAGGCATTCAAGAAATGAACCCGCTTTCGCCTGAACAAATTGCTCAACTCCCACCACAACAGCAGATTATGTATTATCAACAAATGTTAGCGCAACCTACGTATGCCCAACACGGATTAAATTACAATCCTTATAATCATGTATTTGGTATTCCACCTCAAGTCCAACAACCTCAACAAATTCAACCCCAACAAACAAAAGATGCGCAAGAAGCAGACAATTCACAAGCAATAGAACGCAATGAAAACACCTCTAATCAAGCCGTTCCTACAAATGATAAAGTAGTGAAAGAAAAAAATGCTGACGTGCATGCTGCAGGCGATGCAGCCAACTCCCAGCCAAAACCCGAGAAGATACCCGCACCATACCCGTTCCCTATCATTTTAAAGAGCAACTTGGAACCTCTCCAACCATCAATACCTTTTCGGCGACATTCAAAAGCTGATCACTACCATCAACAACACATGCAGCAATACCAACAGCCAATGCCATATAATAATAATTTAACTAGTTATAATTATTATGCGTCGAGGCCTTCCCCCCGTCAGAATCAATATGATATGCAACAAATGTATAATCAACAAATGCATCAAAAGAAGCAAGAACAGCAATATATGTATGATCAAATGCAGCAGCAGATGTGGGACAGTTATCAAAATTGGTTACAGACTCAATATATGAAGCAATATGCTCAATGGTACCAGCAAAACCATCAGTATCAACAAAAGTACGATTTACCACAAAAATCTGCGGAAACAGCTCCGGTTTCTCAAGTTACTCCTCAAACAGATATTCCTACTCCCCAGCAACCTGAACCTACACCTATTAAGCAGGAAGTGGTACAACCAGAGAAACTGTTGGCGCAGCAACCAATGCAATGCGCGCTACGACCCTTCTACTGGCAGCCTAAGATGAATCATGTCATTATCAAACCTCATCCTGAAAAAGAGAATGCTCAGGTTACATCCCTGCCTAGTCATGTTCCACTATATCCACAAGGAAGTCAGCCTATTTATGATCCTGCCTATTATCAACCTATGTACCAACAGATCCCACAAACACAACCACAACCTCAACAACTACAACCAACTCCTTCAAAGGTGGTACCATCGGTACCTGACACTTCTAATGCCGAAAATAATCAAAAGGTAGCGTCTATTCAATCCCTACCCCCGGTTCATTCAGATCCCTCACAGATGATTCAACAACCAGGCATTCAAGAAATGAACCCGCTTTCGCCTGAACAAATTGCTCAACTCCCACCACAACAACAGATTATGTATTATCAACAAATGTTAGCGCAACCTACGTATGCCCAACACGGACTGAATTACAATCCTTATAATCATGTATTTGGTATTCCACCACAAGTCCAACAACCTCAACAAATTCAACCCCAACAAACAAAAGATACGCAAGATGCAGATAATTCACAAGTATCCGAACGTAATGAAAACTCCTCTAATCAAGCCCTTCCAACAACTGATAAAGTAGTGAAAGAAAAAACTGCTGACGTGCATGCTGCAGGTGATGCGGCCATCTCCCAACCAAAACCAGAAAAAATACCCGCACCATACCCATTCCCTATCATTTTAAAGAGCAACTTGGAACCTCTCCAACCATCAATACCTTTTCGACGACACTCAAAAGCTGACATCGCTTTGTCTGAACAGCAATTATCAAGCGCTAGAAAAGCGCAAGCGCAAAAAGCGTCTCCAGGGAAACCGATAAGTGCACGTATTGCAAGCACCATTTTAAAGAGTACCATACACATGGCGGGCGTAAGGTCTAACTATGACATGGGGACACCAGTTAAAACACCCAGATCATTAAATCGGTTTGATCATAACAGAACGGTGAAACACTCAACTAGCGATAAGCAGAATTTCAAACCTGTGTCTAGGTTGGAGAGCAGGAACCTTATCAGCGAATTTATCAATCAACTGCCATAATAACTCCCAAAATAATCGTATTCCTTATTTTGACTCCTCTGCCAACCCCACTTTTGTGCTACACTTGTTGACATTAAATTATTTGTAAAAATATTTGTTTCTTATGCTTTTGTTTGTTTTTCTTTACTCATTTGTTTTGTTTCGTTTCTGTTTTGTTTCTCATTTAGGCCCCAAATTGCATAAAGACCTGTAAATCCAAAATCGTAAATAGCTAGAAGACAAAACAAAGAAACCAATATTCTAGTGAGCAGCCGCAGTCGGACGAGCCACTGCATGATGAGGTGGATGCACCATTGCCGCCCCCAAGCGTGCGAGTCGACAGGCCACAAACGCTGGCGCTGCAACATCAGCACGTGGCGGATTCACACGGGGACCAAAATAACGATGCCGGAGCCGAAGATGAGGAGCTCGCCGAGATTGAGGCACAAATTGAAAAGTTAGAGGTTGCACCCTTGAGTAATACGCCTACTCCAAGAAAGGTGAACAATTATACGCGCAGCTCGCTCAGTTTTGGCAACGACAACGCTGCCGTCCAGGAGCGAAAGACTCCAAGCCACCTCACCGAGCAGGGACACTTTGATTTGAAATTTTACAGTCACAAACTTTGGTAGAGACAAGTATGGCGTGTTTAACCAAATACAAAGTGGTGTGGCACAAGATTTCGACTTTCATTTTGTTTTCACTGTGAATTTAGTATTTATTTTCTTTGAGTATGGTTAAGTATTATAGCAAATGTTACCACACTTGTTCTAGGCTAGGCATAGATAGCTGTAAGCAAAAAACTAGACTAACTAGACTCATGTAGCCACACGTAACGTAATGGAACTTATAGTTGGGGGTTAAAAGCTTTAATTTCCTTTGTTAACTACCTGTTCATTTGAAGCACCATGTATATTGGTAACTTGTAAAATCAAATTTATTTACATCTTTGCAGGAGGGTGTGCAAAAACATCTATTTAGAGAATTTCATGATATTGTAGATGTTTCAACATAATGACGTAGGTTATGAAATAGCGTTCAGCTTTGGTTAAATTGGAAACAGCATTCGTTTCATTATGACATAACCGAAATGGATCATTTTATAAGATTTGTAAAACCAAATATCCATTTATACAATTCGGACCTGTTTTTGATGTTGAAGAAACAATATCTTGATGTAAACTGCTATTGTGATTGCTGACTTTTATTAATTCGAAATAAATTTAGTAACTTTGTACAATCTTCGCATTTCTCACTTTACTTAGGATAAAACCCTGCTTACCGTGAGAGTCGTCACGAAGAAGAAACAGTCTTAACTGTTAATATTGGCAGCAAAAAATAAATTGCCACAAAATATACTTAGTCAAATATATAAATACAATTATTATGAATCGCAATTAACGAAATTTGAAAATTCAATATTTAAAAAAAGCATTCCAGACGCTAAAATAAATTGTCAAAAAACTTATGTTTTAAATCGTCTGATACTCACTAAATGGCCCGACACGGGTCAAAACATCTACAGCACGTACTGCAAAAAAGTACCGATTGTGCGCCATGAACTGAGTCAGTGTAACTGCCATCGGCAACTGCAAGGCCTTCACGTCCCCGATTTTACTCCAATTTTCAGAACGGGGCTCACCTTTTGTTTCGTGATACGCGTAAATTTGGTAACTAGCAATCTCAGAAAACAGTTCCAGATTCGAAGTTATCTTCCAGGAGAGAATGATACCGTTACCACACTCAGTTTTAGTAAGAGTAAGCTGCGGACGCGGGGGTATAGGTTTATTAGATGCGATGTTTCGTGAAGGTGTGATTGGGAAAGGAGCTGGATGACGACCTTTCACAAATTTAGCTTTGCTGGGACGTTGGGGAGTGGTAGTCACTGGCGCAGATACCACGTTTGTGGGCGTTGTGTTCGAATTAACAGAGTTCGTCGTCCGTAGTATAGATGTTTGCATTGTTCGCACTGGTGCCCCGGTTGTGATAACTTTCATTGGGCTGTTGTTCAACGCAATGTTGTTACCAGGTGCGATCGGAGCTGTAAAACGTACATTTAGTACACATTTAAGAGCATAGTCAACAATGGGACTTACGAATTTTAACCATTACGGATTGTCCATTGACCAATACAAATTTATGCCCATTTGTGGGTTGGATCAGTTTTGTAGCGAGTGAAAGTCGCTGGAGGGTTGTCGATGCCGGTAGACTCTTATCGTCATCGCTGGTCAAATCAATAACACTCGCACCACTAGGTGTGGCCACATTGTCGCTTACAGCGGGTTGACTAACTTTATTATTAGCACATTTTGTCGAAGATACCTTCGGGCTCTTCTGGACGGGTCGTGGTGCTGCCACCATTTGTAATGATGACTTACCTGTTAATTGTTGATGCTACGACAAATAATAACAATAAATTTGACTGATATAATATGGAAAGGCATAAATACACTTACCGCAACTTTAAGCAACTGGACAACATTTGATGCTGGTGGCCTAGGCGCAATTTTCGCCAAAGATGGCGTTGGTTTGGGTTCCGGGCTCACAGTTACTGGTTTTTTTGTAGAAGTTTCCCTTAAAAACGCCTGCAAGCCAACCGAGCGAGTTATCCGCGGTACAATCAGCGGTTTTTCTGAGCATCTCTTGAACCGTTGCATGTCCTGCAGGATTTTCTCGTGCACAATATTCAAATCATTCGCCTGTTTAGACAAGGCAGAGATCTCCTTCTGCATTACATCAATGATACTATCGCGATCACGAATAGCTTTCAGTAAATTTCGAATTTCTGATTTGTAAACGAGAGATTCGCAAATCTTTTGAACTGCAAACGCTTCCAGCCCCTCTCGATTTATGTTTTTCAGTGATATATCTTTGAATAGTGCACGGAAAGTCTCTTTGCTATCATCTTCCAACTTTGGTTTCACGTCTGTGTCATTCATTTCAATTTTAGTTCCTATTTCTAAAACTAGAGGAATTGATGGGGTAACAGATGATGAATCTGTTGTCAATGTGGTGTTAGGTTTGAATTTTTTCGTCTTATCGGTAGAGTCATACATATCAGAAGAGATACGTTTACGTAGACTTTTAGGACCTACACCCGTCGGCGCAGACTCTCTTGATTTTCCGGTAGGTTTACTTTCAATTGTCCCTTCGTCATCCTGTACATTTTCTTTATTACTATCGTTATCTGATATTGTCGTGGGGTTTGGTACTGCAGGTTCACCAACCTCATCTGCTTCATCTCCAGTATTAATACTGTCATCAATTTTTTCCTCTGTGTCGTCTTCCTTAGTTTCCAATTCTTCTGTGTTTTTCTTTTGACTCGTCTCTTCCTGCGCCGATTGATCAGTAGGTAAAGGAGCTTCCTCTACCACTTCGTCTGTTGCAGTTGTGGTGGAAGCCTCCCCAATATCCAAGATACTATCACCAATATCCATCAAGTCATCAGGAGAATTATCAGTCTTATCTTCACTCTCTTGTTCATTTACACTTGGAGGTGACTTAGAGCTTTCAGGGCAGGTCAAAGACTCATCCTTCACTTTAGCATCTTCACTCTCTTCTTCTGCCTGCTCAGCCACACTCTTTGCATACTCAGTAGCATCAATGTCTGCTGCCTTCTCATTTAAAACCAGAAGTAAGTCACCATCATCTGAGCTCCCTGTTGGAACTGTTTTAGCCAAAGAATTTTCTTTGTCTGCCTCCCCAGTCCCAAGATCCATATTAGAGTTTGAAGATTCCTCCTCATTAGCTGGTACCTTTTGAAAATTAGCTTTGACCAAAATCTCTGCATCTATGAAATCTTCCATATCCTCACTGGATTGCTGCAGAGGCTCCGTAGCTGCCTCATCATCAGTTGATTCCAGCAAAGAGGATTCATCCATATCCCCACTGCTATTGAGTGCTTCCTTGAACTCTAAAGCATGATACTCCAAATTATAATAATTAACTTGAGTTGATATTTTGAGGATACATACCTTCATTTTCTGTGTCTGACAGTTGCAAGTGGAAGTCAGAATCAGGTTCTGAACACTCCTCAGATCTCAGGAGTGATACCATGGTGAGGAGAGTAAGTTAAAGTATCCAAACTACAAAAACACGACCGCAAAAGGATTTAGATAATAAGTTATAATAAGATCTAACGTAATCTTATCTTAACCTTAAAATTTTCTAAATGTGGTCTGTACACCAATATTAAAAAATATATTATTTAGAAAATATTAATGCACCCAGTTCATACTTTTCAAACATACTATGCCTACATTTGCAAAATAATTGCATGCAAAGTGCATTTAACGCGCATCCAAAAGATCAAAATAACCATGAAACAAATACCTTGTAATATAGTTACTATATTTCGTTGTGATCTAACCAAACTTGCATTTTAATATAAAAAATGCATATTGCAACTTTGTCAAGAGAAACAAAAATATATAGTTCAACAAAATGCGAACGCATGCGCATACACACGATAGAACTGACGAACCTTTCAATGCCTCCCACCACTCAACAAGTTTTTGTACTGTCTACTGCCTACAGTTCTCTCTATTTCACAAATACTGCTCTGCTGTACAAATGCCCCGTGATACACGGGTTCACGGTCAAATCAACTCCTGCCGCCATCTTGTTCATATCTTCAAATAAATCATCATCCTAAATACCATATCATCCTAGTATGTCTAAATAATGTCTAAATGACAGTCAACTAGAATAAATTTAAAATAGCTCATTGTGCTAGTTTGGGGTTAGGTCTAAATATATTCCAGAATAAAAACTCCAAAAATGAACTTGAAACTTGTACTGTCCATTTTTGAATTTTTCTAATTCTAATCTTTACATAACTAGATTCTAGAATACCAACTACCAGCTACCCTAGAGATGCGCATGAGCATAATCGACGCCTCGGATACACGAGATATGCACATGCGCCTCACACGCTTTTGCCGCGATCCGTTCGACCCAGCCAACAACATGAGGCAAGCGTGAACCGACACTAACACACTTACTACTTGATGCACATGCACGAATATACAACGGCGCTAGTACACGCATACTTTCGACGTAGCCTCGCCTAACAACTGCGCAATTTCGCTAAACAGCATTTGTGGTTATGAAAAGGGGGGATTACAGTAGAGATATTTTTGATCAAAATTGATTATTTACTTCTCCTGTATCGAAGATACGAAGCTATATGGTCAGACAATCATTGAGGTTAATGTTGGAGAGTTGCTCCCCAAACATCAAAGCCCTCCCAAAGCCGCTAGCTCATGTGATACTCGAATAAAATCAATATCGAAATTTCCAAAAACGTTTGACAATAGAACATGTATTACATAATACAATAGCCTTAAAGAGACACTATGAGAATATGATTACTTAACCTAAAAAAAATCAGGGATACCTGCTTTTTGCAGGTATATAAGCTCAGCTCATGTTTATATTCCTGTCAACATACAAAACGATAGAATATGCTCACCACGAGATAACAGATGAAGATGATGTCCCTATAGAAACACAGGAATACTCAGAAGACGGTGGGTCACTCACGATAGATGTTTCAGGACTTGGCAGTTTGCCTAACGGGTCTAACCTAATCAAACAAAAATGGCCGCTGCCGATCCCGCCTACTTTGCACTCTGCGCATGTGCAACCTAATCCACACGCATTCATGCACGCGCGTACTCAACAGGAATTCGTCATGCACAACAACACAAATCCAACGCAAATCGATCATTAACATAACCCACAAATAACATAATCTACTCTCTAACTGTAGACAAAAGTGGATACATACCTTGCAGCTGACGCGCACACTCGCTGGTGTGTGTGAATTGTGAGAGTAGCAGTGCGAGTGTACAGTGAATGGCTTCGCTCGGTACGGATCAGATCACTGCGGCAGTTACGGAGACCCCGTATATTTTAGTTCAGGTCACCAGCAAACCCTCAACTTGAGCGCGGGCTCTAGCTCTACCACTCCACAAGCTTGTTGGCGACTAACGTGCGATCTGGTTTGCGTTCGGCCGCATGATGGCATTGCCGTGCTGCACATGCGCTCTACGCGCTAGGGGGGAACAATGCGCATGACAGCCAACAAAGGGTCTTCATGTTTTTGGGTGAGAATTGAGGTTTTTTTAATTTGGGGATATGTCAGATAAACAAATACAAGTAATAATAACACTGGTGAACAATTTTTAACATCCGTTATATTCGATAAATGCATAAAGCGTGTGGTATTTAATAATTTATTCTTGGAAATGGGTTAGGGTGATATGAATGTTTATAATTTAGGGAATATTTGGTCATAACAGCAAAAATTGTTTATATTATATAATAACATTGCATTTTTTGGGTTTTTAGCCAAATATTTGCAAACACCCGGTATACTGGTCCCCAGATTTTAAGAATTTTTTGTTTAGATATCACACTTATCATCAGTTAGAAAAATATATAATGTCTTGATTATTACGTTTAATTAATCAAGGTAAAATGCCGTTTACGCCATCTGTGAATTTTTAAGAAACTTTATCTTTGCGGTAGGGTTAAATGAATTCACCGGTTTTATTGTTATCAACAAACGAAATGATTTTTTAAAATGATATGTACTATAATATCGACATTATATTACTACTACATATCCAGATGATTTATTTATTTTCCTGGATATTTTTATGACATTTTTGAGGTTAGCTCGCAGCAGGAAATTCTTATGACTTATTTTCCTTACACCAACTACGCAATAAAACATTTGAACTATTGCCATTTCTGTTAATGTCAATGGAGGAAAATAACAGTTTATGATTTAAGATAACCAATGTTTTGGATCTATCAACAAAAACATACTTTTATTATGGTTTTTTTTTTATCATAACGTTTGTTTTGACTAATTGTTTCGATTACACTACCTGAATACCTTAAAATCTAAGTTTAAATAGTTCCCTAAGTTGTTAATTTCATCAAAGTTCGGGTAAAATAATCACTGCAGAATATAACAATTGGTACCGTGAAAATTGTTAATAATTCAGCTGGTTGACACAGAGGCGCCATCTATCAATCATGTTCAGTAACTAAATGTTACCTGGGATAACCTTAAGAGATAAACAAATAAATCGCACATTGAATCTTTGAAAGAGATTATACAACTTCAAAAATCTTAACACAAGAAAATGTTTGCCTCCAGGTGTATATCCCACAGATTACTTGCTTCACCTACTCGAATTGTACGTTTATAAACCCTATTTTTTGTGTGTTTTGTATTATTTTATTCTATTTCAGTTTCGATGTATAAACAGCTCAAGTGATATTGATCTTCATTTCAAACCAAGATTTACTGATGAGGAAGAAGCAAAGATATTAAGCATTATAAATCAGGAAAACACTGACCAACTTCTAAAGTTTGACATGACCAGGGGTAGAGTAAAAAACTTAGAAATGTGGAGAATAAAGAATGGTCCTTTTCACTCTTTGTCTGAGATACTAGAGGTTGAGGGTCTTGGAGAAAAAGTCTTAGAAAGATTGTGCAATAGCATAATTTTAAACAAAACAAATGACAACAATCTAAAAACCGCCCAAGGGAATAGAAAACAATTGGTCACTCCACCATTTGATACAACAACATTAACAGTTAATATTTAAACAAGTTAATTATGTTTAAAACTATTAAATATAAATATTTATTCTAGAGGCTTCAATCTGCTGTTGGGATTCATGCTTGTGCAACTGGAGTTAGCTGGGCCAAACTAAACAAAGACACAAATGAAGTAGATGATTGGAATTTTCAAGATTTCAGTTTTCTCCCAAAGAAAATGTTATCCACAGAAACTTATGATATTGCTGTTGAGATTTTGAAGAGGTTGCCTGATGCTGATGTCTACGTAATGGAAGCAACTCCAACAATTAGTCCACAGAATCCACAGGCAACTAAAGCATTACCTGCCTACAATCAGCACATGGAGTTGACTTCAATGTTACTTGCATTGATCAACAGCAGTGGGAAACATGGATGTATTGGGAAACTAGAGGGTGGAGGGCTTAAAAACGGCGAATATGACATATCTCGAAATAAGGTGTACTTTTTAAGGGCATATTTATCCGCAAGATTGTTTAAAACCTTAGTGGGTAATGAACGAGTATCATCCGGGGCTATTATTAGTAAGTTATTAGATGGCCATGATGATTTACCATGCACAGCCATCACAACAAAAGGATTAATTAAATCAGAATTTATGTCACAGTCAAGTGTGCATAAAGATCTGTTAGGACACGCTCTCATGTTAATTGTCAGCTTTATGAATCTATGTGTTTATAAAAACGCTGCTAGTTTGCATGTTATTAATAGTCGTGGCCGAAAAAATTAGACAAATTGGGAAAATATAGCAATTTATGTTTATAAACAAGTGTTTCACACATAGATGGCGCTACGATGCAGTTTTTCATGTTGCAATCAACAAGTTGAGGCCATTCCTCATTTGTTTGTATTTTAATCAAGTTCCGCATGTATAATATCAAGGAAGTGTTTAATATGAAACGTGAATCTTGTGCATAGATTATAATTAACGCGGAAGTAACTCTGCTGTTCATTGCCAAGTGGTATAATCTTTTATTGTTTGTGGTGTAAAGATAACCTCTCAACTTTTAAGAAACATTACATTTCGCAACCGTGGCGCGTTTATTGTTACAAGACAAACAGTATGAATGATCCGCAAGTTAATAAAACATTAACATACCTACGACAAGTGGAAACAGTCGCGCAGGAGGTGCTCGCGAAAAAGCACCTGAAAATTGAATTATCCAACGGCAGGAATAAATTCAATGAGGCGTACAGAGCATTGCAAAAGAGTGATGAAAATCATGCATTTCTCAAGTGTGGATCTTGTTATTTAAGATTTCCCAAAGATGTTGCTATTGATGTTTTAAAAGAAGGTGCGAATTTTCATTGTATAGCTTAATATCATTTAATTATTAATTATTTTTGACAGATATTAAAACATCAACTGAAGAAATTGATGAGTTACATGAAGAAATAAGAAGAAAAGTTTCTGATCTTCGAGAGTTGGAACATCAACCTGGAATTGTTGGTTTTGGTCTTAAACCTTTAAGTGGAGTGGAAGCCAGAGCTATTTCAAAGGGTTTTGGTGATCATTAAGAGGTAAAATATTATTTTATTCATAAATTTAATGATAAATACATTTGAAATGTTAAAATCGACACTAGCGCTAATATTTATCCGCAACGTCGATTGTGTTGTGATTGCGCATGTGAATATCGATCAATTGGCGGCGGCGGCGGCGGTAGCTTCACTGCTGTTTAGGGTAGAGCCGCCCCTCCAGCGTTTGTACCCGCAGTCGCAGAGGCGTCACAACACAATGCAAGTGCAAGCTGTAAACTAGCAAGAAAAAAATCGTATCAAAGATTTGAGTATTTCAAGGATTATTTAACATTTAACATTTGATTGTGCAGCGTATCAATGATGGCAGGATTACAACGGAATGAGCATTTCGTAAGTTGTCTCGTTATTGCATTGTATATTTATCACTCCGCTCCGCAAGTCATTGTTATTCTCTCATTCGGGTCAAGTTCTTTCGATTTGTATTTTCGGCGTGGCGTTAATTTTTAAATGTCGCACTGAAGCAGCGGTTAATGATATTCATTATGTCGTTTCATGCTGGGCTTGATTGCGATTTGGAGTTAAGAGTTACGTAAACGTGAGCCTGATTGTTTTCGTCTATAATGTATGGACGTTATGCGAAGTAATCGATTTGACGATACGCCGACCTTGTCCTCGCCGCCACCGTCACAATTTCTTTTCTTTTATTGTCCCTCCGGCGAGCAATAAGCGTACATCTGCAATTTATTACCGTGTGTGTTTCTTTTGTCTTTGGTTGCAGATGGCAAACACGTGCTGGTAATCTTTCTGTGCATTGAAATTAGTGTCGATTGTAATTGCAGGCGAGGAAAACGGATTCCGCGGTTTGCGGCACGGCCTTGGGTGCTATTATTAATTTTCGCCCGTGGTTTTCTCATAGCATGCGCGGAATTGTCAAAATCGAAAGTCTAACCAGCAAGCAAAGAAAAAACATGATGGTGATAAAGAAAGGGGTAAATTATTATATTTACATCATATTTTGTTTGTTTATGACGCTGTTAGGCATAAACCACTTAACCAATTTTAATTAATTTTGGTTAGGAGATATTTGGGACCTAGGAGAATAACATAGGCTTTTTGCATATTGCAAAAAAATCATTTAAAGGGTAAAAACCGCGTGTAAAAGTTGGTAATTTGAAACATTCGCTCGCATCGACCGAAAAATAAGGTCAAAGTTGACACGGTGATGAAGTACATTTGCCCATAATTGAAATAATTTACTTCCTAATCAATAAACGAACTCGATATCAACATTCCTATTAATCTTTTGCTTAAATATAGATAATTCCGCGGAAATATTTGGTGAAAGCGCGCGTATATGATGAGTAAATGAAATGATACAGTCAATTCCGCCCCCAGCGGTAGAAAGTTCTTTAAAATGATATCTTTTTCAATGAGTTGTTTTATATTTTACCCCCTAAACCTTCCAGCGGCAACCGCGCGTCTTGCGCCTCCCACTGCGCTCGTCGCGGTTCGCGGTGTCGCGGTGTTTGCAGGATGGGTTCCGCAGTAGCGGCCGCGTCAACGGCACGGTTATCATTCGACCGGGCACTCCCGACTCATAGTTTCGTCAGCCGTGTAGAGTGTACTTTTGCTTCACTTCGCTGTTCATACGTTTAGTTTACTTTGTGTGTGCGCGCGCGCGCGTTTAGTTATTTATAATCGCGAGCGCAACATAAACACACAGCGCCGCCAGCTTCTTTGACACGGATTCCCCGACGAGAGCGGACAACTTGTTCACAGTGCTGATTGCTGTTTACTTTGGTGTGTACGGTGTCCAGCAAAAGAGTGTTGTCGAGAAGAATACAGTGGCAGTGGCGTTAAAATGGCGTGTTTTAGTCGGTTACCAAACTGGTAGCTGTCTAGCGACTGTTGCTGACCGAGAACGACGGCTAGTGTCTATGTTGGATAGTTTTCTAGTGCGAAGTGAATCCATTCCACACGTGGCACCTGCATGAGCGGATTCCCAGCTGGTGTGTGCGGGGACATTTTCGATACAGTGTAGGTAGAAACACGCATACAATGTCTAGCTCTGGGTGTAATTAATGTTTACGTTTTTACGACTCGCGGGACGGGTCGTCATTAACCGTGCGTACATGTCATTACGTGCGCGTTTAAAGTTTAAAAGTTAAACGGGTGCCCGAAATGCACACTGCGTTCCGCTTTTCGGTTGTTTACCGTCTTATCGCCGCTGCACACGCTATATACACACACACATGCACGCTGGTGAATTGATGAATGTATAAATAATTTCGCATGAAATGTCTAAATATTTATGGGGAGACGGATGGGTGCACAATTGAAGGTGTCACGTGCCGCACACGTGGTATTTTATTTCTAATTGTGTTGGTTAATAAATTTGAAGGTTTTTGATTATTGGTTTGATTTTGACATATATGAAGCGGAACTTGATTTCCCTGTTACTATCTTGTTTAGCCATGAAATGTATCGTGAAGGCTATTATGCGATTGCTGGTTAAAAATTTGTACATTTTTATTCGTGAAGGAATATAATATTAGCCTAGGTTAACTTAGTTTTTGATAAATTGCCGGAAAGACCTGTTTTGGTTTAGTATATTGTAGCTTTTGAACTTTTAATATTTATTTTTGGGTTTAATTTAGTTTTTTATGTTTAATTTTAACTTGTTATCTAAACGCCGTGTTTATTTGAGGACTTTGCCTTTTTGTGTGCGCAAATAATGAAACATTATATTTTGCGCACTTTTTTTGGTGTTTTTTGAAATTTACATTGTATTATTTTTTTCTTTTTAACTTCGCTCGCGTTGATAATTTATTGGAAATTAATTTTTTTGTTGCCCGAACATGTAAATTGTTTTGCACACCCTTCAAGTTGAATTTTTGCGGCAAAAAGTGGCCTATGTTATTCTCCTGGGTCCAAATTATTTCCAAACTAAAATTTATCAAAATTTGTTGAGTTGTTTTTGCATAGCAGCATCACAAACATACCAACACGTTTTGTTTAATATATTGTGAATTTTCACTATTACTCACGCCAACTATTTACGTAAAAGTGACGTTTTTGGACAATTTTTTGACCACAAATCCCGCAGGATGTATTGACCCAAAATTGACGAAATCTAACTATTCCTGCTTTCAATTAATAGCGCAAAAATAGTCTGAAGGATGTGCGGTTGCATGCTTAAGCCAATTTTAGAATATACATGACTCATTGTTTATTGTTGCCACTCGTGAATAACATGAATATAATTTTTTGCACACCTTCGAACACATTCACATAATTAGCGAGCGTTTTGCGATTTTCGCGCAGCACCAACATGTACATATCGATAAGTAAATATTAATAATTTATGCACTCGCGTAAATTATAAATTACACAAAACCTACAAACGCCATTATCAGTTAGTCAATAGTCGAAACGATAGAGTAAACTAATTAATAGCGCGCGACATTGAACGAATCGCGCATTATCGAAATATTTAACAACTTGTATATATCGGCAAGGCCACTCGTCCTTAAAATGTTTACACCAAAACACCATCACTCACTCCTGCATGACATGCGTGGTTTCTTCCTGCTCCAGCCAAACAAACAGTTTTTTGTCTCGCGGGACACACGTTCGTGTGAACGAACCAAATTAATTAGTGTCGAAACGGTGCAAATATTGTTATTATGAATATGTATTCCGAATGGGAACACTTCAAGTTCAAGATGCATGCAAACTTGACAAACGAGTTTGTTTATTACGCGCTGCCGCCGCGCAAAATGAGCCAACCAGCGGCCATCGGCAAGCAGCAGGCACAGATCTACACATTTCCAGTTAGTTTTTGTTTATTCCTGTGGTATGTGTACAACGGGTTGTGGAAACAATGCGAATTTTTATGAATAGAGGAAATAAGATCGTATTCCCACACGATACGTTCGTATATAAAACTATTGTTTAAATATATGCGCCAAGAAAGGAAAAAAAAAACGTTACTTTTGTGTCGAGTCACTTCGCAGGAAATAATAAAAAACATAGAAACTGGTTTATTTTTTAGAATGTGTATTAGAATACTAGATAAATAGCTATTTTAAACAGAGTGTATTAAATTCAATACATTTTACAGGTATAATTTGCTTGAATGCATTCATTTTTATTTTACGTTGATATGAACGTTAATTTGTCTCACAAAGTTGACTGGGTGATATGTTATCGTAATGGTATGCGTGGGAAAATGAATTGTTAAAGAAAAACCCGTATATTATTATAGGAAACGTGCAGAAACACTAAATTAACTAGAAAAATTTTAAAATGGAAAATCCGAAATATAAATTTACTGAAAAATCGTTCTTATATTATAGAAATTTGCAATGCAATTTGTATTTTCCGTCGTTACACAGAGGAACTATGACGAGGAAATTAATTTTAAACATAATGTATAAAATTAAATACATTTAGTTAATTTTATTCACTTTTACATTATTTACGTTGATAGCAGCGTTAATTTGTCTCGCAAAGTTGACTACGTGATATGTTATCGTATTGATATGCGTGGGAAAATGAAGTTTTTAAAGGAAAACCTGTATTTTATCATTTAGGGCGCGCAGAATTACTAAAAATGTAAAAGTGGAAAATCCAAAATATGTAACATAATTTATATCTTATTTTTTAAAGAGATAAGATATAAATAGCTCTTAAAAATGATAATTGATTATGCTATTAATAATAATTATGTTTAAATTGCACGATTTCCCAACCCAGGTTTTTATTATCTTGTTTACCACCTACGAGTCAAATTTATTGACGAATTATTTATTCATATTGCGCGGTGTACTGTCAAAATATTTATTGCAGAAAACGCGTCACACGTCATGAAAACTCGTCGCTGGGAATTTGAGCGTTTGCGCACGTTTCAAGCATTTCAATACCGAATAACGCGCGTATGATGCTTATCAGTAGTGGTAATTGTGTTGTTATTGTCTTCATTGTCTGAAATGTGACTAAATCGAGGCGTTTTCGCTGAAATGACGACACGTCGTTCTCTTATCACAACATTAAAACATTCAAATCCACGTCAGGCGGTGCGACTTATCGCGATTAAACAAACTAAACGACTCTCTTTAACCTGCACGCTGTATTACTCAATAATTTAGCGCAGATGTTAATTTGTGTCTACGTAAGTGTCAAGTTGTACGTCACAAGTTTACAATCGAAATTGAATTTAACTCTTGAATTGGCCAGGTATCGTTCAAGTTTAACAATTAGATAATTAAATGTTTGAGCGGTAATAAAGCTTTAAAATTTAAATCCACAGACAACAATAAAATGCAATTGATGCGAAGGAAATTTTAATCTTATATAATGGCATCGATGCGTCTCGGGTTTATCTGGTGAGTGACCGATTAATACAACAATTAAATTTGAACATGCCATACTATTATTAATAGGCTGAGTAGGGCGATAAGTGATAACCCTAGCGCGAATCATTTTAATTAGACACGAAATTTTAATTGCGTGCGGTGATTGACCTCTTAATTTGTCTCGACTAATTGAATTCATCATAATTATACCTTGGGCATTAGTGATCACAATGGTTTCTTCTCTCTTTATGCTTGTGATGAAAAAAGTTTATGTTGGGCAATGGATAATGTTGCAAGACGACGGCGCGAGCAAAGTGAAAACAACCTTGAACTTGCGGGCCTGGTGCCTGGTGTGTCTTGTGTTTGACTCGGCAAAAAGCCGCGGTAGTTGAAATGTTTTCTATTTTTTTTTTCTTCTGTTGTTGTTGTGCCGCCATGACAGTGGTTTCCTTTTTACCATGCTGTAACTTTCTTCGCGGACGTGATTCGCGCTCGAACTCTTTCCTCACATATACGAGAACATACTTTGATTACGATTACTTTCCTAAGTTAAGCATGATTTTTATTCAAATTTGAAGGGGTGCACAAGCAGTTAATACAAAATCATTTAAAAGATTTTTTGTTCTTTTATGTAACGTCACTTTTTTAAAACATAATAAAATACCTGATCTCCTAAGATCAGTTTATCTTAGTTTATATTGAATTAATAATAAAAATAAACAAATTTAAGTTAATGTAAAATATTTTTTAAATAGTTTTGTTTGTGTTTTTATTATAGTTTTATTGCGTTTTACTTTCTTACATTTCGATGCGCGTTCGCGTGCGACAAGTGCCGTTAGGATTGCTAATGGCGAAGTAGAAATAGAAATGAGAAATGTAAAATGTAAAATGCATAACTGGTTTTGGCCTCTTGGATATGAATATTGAACACTGGAATATCTTGCGTGTATGTGTGTGCGATATTAAATTTTCACAGAAAAAAGAGAAACTTCTGCGCGCGCTGGTTGAGAACTAAGTTCAACGCTCCTACAATTCGCACCGAACTTCCACTTACCGCGAATAGATACCAACAACTTGCACTTGCAATAAAAATAAATTTATTTCTCTTTTTTTCAGGACCCGCCAGGTCTCTGGATACACCACAGACTGACAACACTAACATTACAAAATGGTAAATATATTATTGACATAAACGTCAATTAATTATCCCTGTCTCCGTCAATCATTTATTTCTATTCTGGGCTTCTCATTTTTTCATTTCTGTTAAATGTCCTACGCATAAAATGGTATAAATTTGATCCGCGGATGATGGGTAAGAGGTTGTTTAATTGTAATTATTCTAGGATCTGCAGGGATGTGAATCGCATGCTTCTCGGTCGCTGAAAGATGACGTTACCGATAGGCCCGCTGTGCGGGGACAATAACAACAGCGCGCTACCCCTGCGAGGCGCGCGTCGTAAGCAGCAGTGCCTGAGCGCGGCCTTCGCAGACCAGCCGGCGAAGCGGGAACGCCGGCGCGCCATATGCTCCTGGTCGGTGGGCTACGGCACGCTGAGCCACCACCAGCAACAACAGGACGACGGGCTGCCGGCGATCCATGCGGCCACCGCCGTGCCCGTCCATCAACCGCCACCACAGCCACAACAGCGCCGCAATTTTCTCGCGATGCCCGGCCTCAAGTCATTGGTCACCCGCCGTCGGAATTCCGGCTCGGCGGAACCCTCCTCAGTACCACTGGTACGCCGGAATGGAAGTAGTAGTAATCTCGTGCGATCGGCGGCTAGTCTAGCTAGTCTGCGTAAGTGTGAGACCGTGCTGGCGCTCACCGGGGTCCTGAGGACCTCTTCGTCCAGCAGTGATCTGGAACCCATCAGACCTGTTAATCGGTTGCGGGAGTCGACGCTGGAAGGGTCGCATTCACGAATATGCTCACGCTGCTCCAGTTTGTTGTCTCTGGCGTCGACATCTCGATATTCCTTGGATGCCGCTGGTGGTGGGTTTGTACAAGTGACCAAGGAGGATGACGAGACGCGGACGATATTGTGTAAGCTGTGCTTAGTTGAGGTGCCTTTCAAACATGCCATTCGACTGCAGCAGTGCAATTGCTCCTTCTGCTCCGAGGTGAGTAATCATTAATCATTATAGTGTTGTTTATTTACTTTGAAAGCACGTTTTTTTATTGATTGTAAGTGAATTGTATCAGAATTGAGTCAGGGACAAACATACTCATAATTTATTGTTGACGTCATTAAGTTACCTTAGTTATTTTATGCGTGGGAGGCCTGGAAAGTTAAGAAAACCCTCGGAGTGATTTTGAAATCGTTCTCCTCTTGAGAAAATTTATGAAGTTTGGTTATGTAAGTTGTAAAGTGGGTGGTCAGACATGGAAGCATTTTTAGCACGTATTCATGTGTGTTGAGCGTTTTCCGGCGCCCCCGGGGGGCGGGACCCCGCGTAAGACCGCAAAAACGTGCGTTTCGTGCATAATTGCCTGCTCGTTGGGAAATTGCGCATGCACGAAGACCGCACGCGGTGGAAAGCTGCACGGTGGAAAACAATGCGGGCGATAATTGCGCGCCGATTTGCTAATCACCGTTATTGTTATTGCGTTCGCGCACGCTGCGCACGGTATGTCTCGTGCATGCTTAATGGCACAAGAAGTATGTGCGCACCTTTTTTGTAAGTACACAACCCGTGTGAAGAATAATGTGGCTTCATTCCGAGTCTATCCACGAAATAAAAAGTCGAAATTGAGACGCAGTTGTGGTTTTTTTGTTTCATACTCGCGCGGAATTTAAAACTTGGAAATAATAAAAACGTAGTAGTTGACAAGTTTAGCTCATTAAGTTGAGTTTTTTTAAATTTAATTTCTGAATTATTTAATAATCAATGCTCAATCATGTTAATTACAACAGTTGAAAAGGCACTTATCAACGCTTGTAATTGAAATTTTCTTATTCGTGTTTGCCTTGATGCAAATTTATTTGATTTGTTCAACAAGCGATAACGACCTCATTAATTTAAAGTACTTAATCTAGTTTGGCATCTTTGTATGGCTGACCTGTGGACATTAAGTTTCATCAGTGGTTATTACGAAGCAATCATTTTAATTATGCTCGACACCTTCTGTTGTTATATTCGAGTGTCGTGTGAGCTTATAAAGTGTGTTAAGTTGACTTTCGATTTTGTTTGCAACTTCTCAACCGCTGGCGATGTGCGAACTTGCTGAGTAAACATGACGTCACGCTTTTAATTTCTGTATTGTCGTCTTGATTTTTGGGCATTCATGTTTTCAAATTATTGATTTATTTACCTCGCAGACTTGAGAAACGAATTGTGTTGGTTGTATTTTGGTTCCACAACTTTCTAAATGTTGAGAATTCGTAGATGAAATCAAACGGCGCCGGACGCTCACGAAAAATGCGTTTAGTCTCGACACGCGTTTGCAGGAAATCATTTCGCTTCTCGGCAAAGGAGAAGTGCGTAATTACTTTCATTTGCTGCGGCGCGCACGGCGAGTGGATTCGAATGCAATTAGACGCGAGTTGTGAGCGCGTACTTGAAAACTTAAAAATAAACGCGGAATTCGATTAGCAGCTGCTAGCGGCAGCTCCTGCCGAGCGAGTGATGAGGGACAGTTGCCGTTTATTAGATAAAAAATAATTACGCTGGAGTAATACAACCTTGTAATTACAATTTTATTGATTAGCTTTATTTGCGGTCAGTTTTTTCCAGCTATTTAATTGAATATTCATTTGATTTGTCATTAAACGGGTTCTCCTCAATAATATCAACTTTAATGGACCAACTCACGTCTTTAATTCGATATGGACCCTAGGAAAGTGGAGGGGGCGGAGTGGGTGTCTCAGGCGCGCGTGAGGAAGTGGCGCATTGCGCAACGCCCAATAAGGGAGCTTCTCCCTTCCCCCACCACTTTTCGCTGGACTACCGCAGGTATAAAAGGGCGACGCGCAGTGCTCCGTCCTCAGTCGTTCACGAGCCGTCCAGTCGCAGTTATCTAGGTTTTCTCCCCTCCACTTTCCTCGGGTTTTCGGTTCTACTCTGGTTGCGCACAGTGTAAAGTCTAACTCACATGGCGCTTACCGGTTTTTTGCGATCATAAATTCCCAGATTATATTAGTTTTAAACCTATGTATGAATTTAAAATTTAAATGTTTGTCATTGTCTCGTCTCTTGACATTAATACATTCGCATAAATCAACATGATATAAAGATGTAACAGTCGTGCATTTTATTATTATTATTTTGAATGTAAAGCAGATACATTGTTGCAAAACGTTTGTTCTGGCGACCTTAAACTTCCACACCGCCTGTGTGATTTGTAATTTAATTAAGAATCGTCCCGATGCGGTCAAGGATGATGCTGCGGATGGTTATAAAAATAGTATACACATCGATTTGAAACCGTTTATGTTGTTCACGTAATATGTCTGCAGTAGTTACTCACGCATAATATGTATAATGTGTTGTAATTTGTTCAAATTGAAGACAACTTCGGTGACTCTCCAGATTATGACGCAAGTAACAAATTGTTGAATAAATACGAGAGCCTATTGACAAGTCGTAAGTGGGAAGGTAAATGTTTTAGAAGATATTACGTATAATTCTGTCTGATTGTCAGAAATTACGACAATTGTCAAGAGATGGTTCTTGTTTTTTTCAACCGCAAGTTGAATTCATGTCATGATTGTCTTCTTTGGTGTGAATGTTTTGTTTACACCTTGATTCCGCTCACGATTAGCCATGAAATTGTTTACTTGATTCTTGATTTTTATGAATATTAAGTGCAATATCATGCGTCACAGTTTTTCCTTTCTCTTTGATCTTTGAATCAATGCAATTGATTATGAAGCAGAAACCTACGTAAATCTATTTAGTTATTTTGAGGCAATTTTGTACAATAATCAGAAATCGAAACGGGACTTTTGAAACTTGCAACCGCAGTAGGCGCGCCATAGTTTTTCCTTTCACATTGCACAAGTCCCGTTGCGTTCCGATGCGAAATAGAAACTGCACAATTTCGTCAGTCGCGTACTTTCAATATAATTCGAAGAAATTAAAATAAAATCAACAACGCGTTTCGTGTACAGAGTTGCGTTTCCACATTGTGTTGTTTGCCAACCGAGTGGATCATGTTGTCATCGCGAAAACTCATGTCGATGGGTAATTGCGAATCGTCTCGCATGCATAATTGGCTTTTATATAATCGTGCCGTTTTCGCAGCGAACCTTGAAGGCGGATCAAGTAATGAATTGCCTTGCGCACAACCAGCTGCTTATTACCGTCTCTATGTGCAACCACCAATGAAATATTCCTATAACATTTATTTATATTAATAAACATGGCGGCCGGTGATAATAATTAATTATTTATTCTCTTTTGCAGTGCATGAAGTCGTATGTGGAGTTCGAGATAGCCGAAGGGGCGTACGACATTTCCTGCCCGGATGCGCAATGTCCCGCACAGGGCGTTCTCGTGCAGGACGAAATCAAAAGACTGGTCGGCGACGAAATGCTCGAGAAGCATCTCAAATATCGTCTCAATCGAGGTCAGTTGTGGCTTTTAATCATTTTACAAACAAATAAAATGATTTTATTGTGTTTTTAGAGGTTGAAATCGACAAGAATCGCATGTGGTGTCCACGCGCCGGCTGTGAAACAGTTTGTAGCGTGTGTCCACCTTCGAAGAAGCGCAAACCGCAATGCGTGCATTGTCCCCAGTGCGCCGTCGACTTTTGCAGCGCTTGCAAACTGGAATGGCATCAGGATCTCACCTGTGAGGAGTACAACAAACAGCTGGCTAAACAGGGCCGTGCTGAGGAGACGGGCATTCCTTTCGATTCAGACCTCATCAAGTGCTGTCCCATGTGTAATGTTCCAATCGAGAAGGACGAGGGATGCGCGCAGATGATGTGCAAACGTTGCAAGCATGTGTTTTGCTGGTATTGCTTGGCCAGTCTAGATGTATGCAAGTATATACATGATGATTTCCTGCAAAACTAATATAATTTTATTGGCAGGATGACTTTCTACTACGACACTATGACAAAGGGCCTTGTAAGAATAAACTCGGCCATTCACGAGCGTCGGTGATCTGGCATCGGACGCAGGTGATTGGTATCTTTGCTGGTTTTGGCATTCTCCTGCTGGTGGCGTCGCCGCTGTTGTTGCTGGCGGCGCCGTGCATCGTCTGCTGCAAGTGCCGTGTGTGCAATGCTGGCACGACGAAACTCGACAACGAAGATGAGCTTCCAGGCGAGAGCAATTAGTTAGGCCCCCCACCCCGTATCCATGCAACACTTCATCATATTTTCTAGTCTTTGCAAGCAGACAACAAAAATTACGAGGAGGACGAGTTGCATACTGTTTCCAGCAGCCGCCGACATGACGGTCACTCTTGTACATTTAACAATTAGAACGCTTTGCGGGCGTTTCGGACATGGCATGGACGGAATCTGTGATAGAACGAACTGTGATGATTGTCTCTAACCGTCTGTGTCCGAAACTCAAGACGTAAAAGATTTACATTGATTTTGTAAATTAATTATTTTTACTTTGTAATTACGAATGGTCCACCCCCCTCAAATCTCTTTTCTTAGTGTACTTAATGCGATAAGTCTGAAGCGGATGTAATTAAGCTTCGTTACGTTTTTATTTTTTGATTTGTTTTAGATTTAACAACAACACAACCAGCATCAACGAAAGTTATTGTTTTTCCTCATGCGAAAACGACGACTGATTAACTTTTTATTACTATTATTTTTTTAATTTCCTAATTTTTGAGGTTTAAATTCGGTTTTGAATGCGCTTTTTTAAATATGCGATTCCTTCTCGTCTAAAATGATTCTTCAAAACATTCATAGTCAATTAGAAGCCATAAATAAGTAAATAACATCACCACTTTGACGCAGATACAACTCTTAGCAAAAGAATTACATAAAACAACATAAAATGATATACCTAATGAAATATATATTGTTACATTATTTATATTTGGGTACTGTGTACTTAATATATTATTATTACCAGGATATTGATCTACTGTTTAAATGATCGCTTCAATCCTGCGGTGTGATCGAAAAGAGCCGTATTCTTGAATTCGCCACGCATATCCAGAATGTAATGCAGGTAATGATTTCGTACTTTAATTGGGAGTTGAGATGGAGCACCTTGGCGGGTTTCTTTGCAGCTAACATCTCGTAATGGGACGTTTAATATACGGTTCTGACCAAATGGCGTATAACACACGAATGTAATTTCGTTTCCACCCTTGCGCAAGATTAAATACCTAACTGATTTTAAGGTATACATCCAGGAAATGACCAAAATACCATATCCTAAACAAGATATCAATCTTTAAAGAATGCTACTTGATAAATTCAAGTTAAATACTTGCCTATTAGAAATGAACCAATTGCTATAGTGTTTCGATACTTATTCTCCCCTAAATTGAACTTTCTCCACCAAGGAAGCTCACTTTTCTTTTCCATTGTGACTGGTGCATCTCTGAGGTGATTAAATGCAAAGTGTGATAGGTATGCCCAGAAACCAAACTGGCATACTGAGAATATGCTAAGCATTTTGAAGAACCTTGCATTATCGTATTTGAAGAGTATCACATCTTTGATTACGTTTGTGTTTACTTTGTAAGCACCTTCGCAGTAGTTCCGCACTGGTAATTGCTTCTTAGTGCATAGTGATTGATATAAATTAAGGTTTTTATTGCCACAGAAGATTGTTCTTAAGTTAGCCAGTTTGGTCAGGTATAGAGACATTTTACACGTGAGATAAGTTGATTGTTGCCGGTCGTCAAAGTTACATAACCTTTAAAAAAAGTTGTGCGCGATTGATGAAAACAGTGATTTTCTTATAAAATATGCATGTTATTCAAGACTTACTAAATCTTATAAATAAAGGTGAAGATTTACTAGTGCCATTTGCAAAGATCCATCCACATATTAAAGAATTAATGATAGAATGTGAATCAATTACAAGCGGTAAAAAAGATGTAACAAATTGCAATTTGAGGCAAATTGAGTACATTTTGTGCTATTTACACGATCATTTGAATATTGGCAAATGGGATGAAGTAGCAGAATACTACAGACAAGCATATACATCCGCTAGTTATATGAAAACATTAATTGTTTTACAATTAAACTCTTCCTTCAATATTGATAAAAATATTGAAGTCGTTAAAACAGCTCTTCAAGTAATTGATAAAGGTTTCTTATTGGGATTGCCCCTTGTGAGTAATTTAACATTACTTACTGATTGTGCTAGAATACTTACAAAATATGTGAGTGAAAATTCGGTTTCAAGTAGTAAATTTAACCAAACTGAAGAACTATCAAGTTTCCCGCATAAAAAACAGAAAGTTGAGCACAAAGTTCCTGTTTCTGGTCGCCCTATAGATGGCGTTGTGTGTCCTTCAATCGAAATGTTTCGGAAAGAATATTTTACACCAGAAAAACCGTTGGTAATTCGTGGTATGTGAATATTTTCTAGGGTAATTCTTCTGATTTTATTTAAATGTTTCTTTTAGAGGGTATGACAACATGGCCGGCAATGACCAAGTGGCTAGATATAAATTATTTGTTGAATATTGGTGGTGACCGCACAGTGCCTATAGAAATTGGTAGTTCGTATTCGTCAGATGATTTCTCACAAAGATTGATGACTTTTCGTGATTTCATCAAGAACTATTACAACGCAGAGGACGGAAAAGAAATTGGATATTTAGCTCAACATGATCTACTAACGCAGGTGACATTAAACTCTTTTCATTTCAATAATACCAAAATACAAAAACATAATGTACGTTTAGATTCCAACGTTGATTGAAGATATAAAAGTACCAGACTACTGCTGTTTGAAACGAATACAAGAGTCCGATGATTACAATGATATCGACGATGTTGAACCTGAAATAAACGCATGGATAGGTCCAAAAGGCACCGTTTCTAGTTTGCATTTCGATCCAAAAGATAATCTGCTTTGCCAAGTGTACGGCGCGAAACAGATAATCATGTTTGCACCTAGCGATACGAAATATTTGTACGTGTATGATGATATGCCAATGTTGAGCAACACATCGCAAGTTGACCCAACGAATCCAGATCTGTCGTCATTCGCAGAGTTCAAAAATGCCACGTTGTACACGTGTATTCTGCAAGCTGGCGAAATGGTTTACATCCCACCAAAATGGTGGCATCATATCATCGCATTGGAAAAGAGTTTCTCCGTGAATTTCTGGTGGCAATGAATGGTAAGACTCTAAATTATTAACAATATTTATTTTGATATCCGCTAAACTACATGAAAATACTCTCAATCACATCCCATTCACCAGTCATTAGAAAAGTACACTTGCCACATCTAAGAAATAAATTATTTTGATGCGGGTTAAAGAAGCCGGTATATTTTGTGAGTTGTAGAGAGTTATTATTGAATATCATGTTTGAAAATTTGAAAATGGAGTATATTTAAGTTTCAGTCTAATCATCCTTCTTGTCTCCTTTGCCTGAGACTGTTACTTGTTTTTGTAACTTGCTGTGCTCCTCACACAACCTGTCATATTCCTTTGTGAGATTTTCTGCCTGTGATTTTAAGGCCTTTTTATCCTTGGCCTCCAAGATCAGCTCAGCTTCAAGTTCCTTGACTTGTTTCTTCAAGTTATCAACCTGTAATAATCAAATGGGTTATGATTACTAACTAGTCACTTTTAATATGTTTGTTATTACTTCTTTGTTGGGTTCATTTGCATCTTTCATAAATGCACGAGCGGCGCTGGACGCACCAGCAGCTTGTTTGAGAGCAGCCTCAGATTGGGCAAGAAGTCCAGCCTGGGATGAAATCAAGCTGACAAGACGACGAATCACCTGTTTAAAATTATTGTTATTGAATGACCTTCAAAAATCTAAATATCAAATTACTTACAAGTGACAGGAACAAAGCAAAACCAGAAATGTAAAAGTTCCTCTGTGCTCTAAAAAGCCTCATATTCTCTTGCATTTCAGCATCCAAATGTTTGTGTTCTCCATCACCTTCTAAAAAAAACTTAATCTTGTGCTGATGTGCTATAAATAGACTACAACTCACCATGGTGCGAATATTTTCTCATCTCACGAATTGCGTCCAACAAGAATAACACCAACACAGCCAGCAGAATCATAAAATAAATGCCTGCCTGTGCTTGCAGGCCCTGCAGGAATCTGGACTTGAAGAGACTATTCCATCTTTTTGGACTTGCAATTGGCAGAACCAATAACAACACCACCACAATTTCGATGTAGAGGAAACCGGCGATCAAAGTCCACTGTAAGCTCATTTTCTTTACTTTTTTTAACTATTGCGCCGAAGAGTAGATAAACTGCAACTGAAGTTCAACGGAATGACATGAAAAGTTTATTCGGATGACAGGCGTATTCTGCATGATTATATAGGAGAATAACGGTAGTATACTTACACGCTGGCGGAATGCTGACAAAACTCTGATGTGGTTCTTACTGCAGAGCTCGCGGTCACGGCGTTTTGTATCAGAATCTATTCATGGAAACAAGCCGAAGTTGGGCGACAGATTCGAGTACGTGGGGTTGAAAGTACAGAGACAGCTGACTCATTATTTTACTTTCCGCCAATCGTGGCATAGACGTCGAGAACAATTGCGATGTTGCCGTTATTAATCCGGGTCTGGTTCCCCACCAACGCATTCAAAATTTTCAAATAGCGCAATTCTTATCATATAACTTAGCAAATTTCGTCATTATTGCACAATTTAATAGTTGTGATTACAATATAATCATTTGCCGGTATCCTCCTTCAAAATCCATAGTTTTATTGAACACAATCTGTAATCAAATAATCAAAAAGTAATATTTCATTCTTATGTATATACCAGGGGACTAATTTTGTATGTCGAGTCTATTTTGAGGTTTAGTTCTACGCCTAAACGCATCATGGCGCTAGTGACACTTTTGCAAAGTTAAACGTGTATGCTCGATAAATACCCAACGCATTGTAGTCGTCTTAATCGGGCAGGTGTGTCGCGACGCGTTTCTATTGCAAGTCTCGTTTGTTTTTAACCTAAGTACGGCATCCATCGAAATTGTGAATAAGAAATTCATTTTATCTTTACGTTTGCTGCAAACTGCGAGGGGACATCAGTGCAGTTTGTCATCGTTCCACTGGTAAGTTTAGCATTCAATTAATATTATTTTTATTGATTTTTTATGATTAAATGCGTCGATATAACGATCTCGTATTCGGTATTTGTTGTTCTTTGTATGTACGCATTCGAGAAGATTTCAACATCTTAGTCAGTACACACAATAAAATTGTTATTGTTTTTGTCTCTACGCGTTTATCAATGTCGGTGCAAAAACAAGTTTTTATCGTGTTCAGATCTTGCAGATCTCGCGTGTTGCTGCAGACTACACGTTTTATTATGCGTGAATATAAGTTTTAACTTTATTTTTAAATTCCATGTTGAATTATGATACAATTTGATTTCAGTTTCATACAATTTCATGATTTTGTGAAATTTCGGCTCTCGCGATTGATATTTGGCTATATTTTGGTAACCGTTCGTGCGATTTCAATAGTTTTTTTTATATTTAATATATTTCTTTTATTATTTTTTTAAAATATGCCTCAAAATTATACGATTCTTGTCAATTTACGCGAGTTATATTGATAGTTGTGTCTATACGCACTTGTACTCGTTGCGCTAGGAATTGTAGTTTTTCCACTATAACACGCAAACGCGGTCTTATAACAAGTTCGGAATAATTTCAGTAGATGCGGAATTTAATTCTGCATCTCCCTGTATTATTGAAATTTATTGCTGGAGGAAAATTTTTTTAACGCGAGTTATATTGATAGTTGTGAGTATACGCACTTGTACTCGTTGCGCTAGGAATTGTAGTTTTTCCACTATAACACGCAAACGCGGTCTTATAACAAGTTCGGAATAATTTCAGTAGATGCGGAATTTAATTCTGCATCTCCCTGTATTAAAATTTATTGCCGGAAATTTTTTTAACGCGAGTTATATTGATAGTTGTGAGTATACGCACTTGTACTCGTTGCGCTAGGAATTGTAGTTTTTCCATTATAACACGCGAACGCGATCTTATAACCAGTTCGGAATAATTTTATTAGATGCGGAATTTAATCCTGTATCTCCCTGTATCGAAATGTATTGCTAGAAAATTCCGTAACGCGAGTTATATTGATAGTTGTGTGTATACGCACTTGTACTCGTTGCGCTAGGAATTGTAGTTTTTCCATTATAACACGCGAACACGGTCTTATAATCAGTTCGGAATAATTTTAGTAAATGCGGAATTTAATTCTGCATCTCCTGTCGATAAAGTTTATTGCCGGAAATTTTTTTAACGCAGGTTATAGTGATGGATTTAGTAAGTATGCACTTGTACTCGTTGCGCTAGGGTGTAGTTTTCCGGTACTCGTACGTGAATTCTTATAAAGCGAGTTCGCATTAATTTCAGCAGGGTCACGGAATTTAATTCCTGTATCCCCTGTATTAAAATTTATTGCCGGAAAATTTTTTTACGCGAGTTATATTCATAGTTGTGTGTATACGCATTTGAACTCGTTGCGCTAGGAATTGTAGTTTTTCCATTATAACACGCGAACGCGGTCTTATAATCAGTTCGAAATAATTTCAGTAGATGCGGAATTTAATTCTGTATCCCCCTGTATTAAAATTTATTGCCGGAAAATTTTTTTACGCGAGTTATATTGATAGTTGTGTGTATACGCACTTATACTCGTTGCGCTAGGAATTATGAGTTTTCCATTGCATAACATGCAAACGCGGTCTTATAATCTGTTCGGAATAATTTCAATTTACATGCGGAATTTAATTCTGTATCCCCCTGTATTAAAATTGTGCCAGAAAATTTTTTTTACGCGAGTTATATTGATAGTTGTGTGTGTACGCACTTGTACTCGTTGCGCTAGGAATTGTAGTTTTTCCATTATAACACGCGAACGCGGTCTTATAATCAGTTCGGAATAATTTCAGTAGATGCGGAATTTAATTCTGTATCCCCCTGTATTAAAATTTATTGCCGGAAAATTTTTTTACGCGAGTTATATTCATAGTTGTGTGTATACGCATTTGAACTCGTTGCGCTAGGAATTGTAGTTTTTCCATTATAACACGCGAACGCGGTCTTATAATCAGTTCGAAATAATTTCAGTAGATGCGGAATTTAATTCTGTATCCCCCTGTATTAAAATTTATTGCCGGAAAATTTTTTTACGCGAGTTATATTCATAGTTGTGTGTATACACTTACTTGTACTCGTTAACTAGGAATTGTAGTTTTTCCATTATAACACGCGAACGCGGTCTTATAATCAGTTCGGAATAATTTTAGTAGATGCGGAATTTAATCCTGTATCTCCCTGTATCGAAATTTATTGCTAGAAAATTCCATAACGCGAGTTATAATGATAGTTGTGTGTATACGCACTTGTACTCGTTGCGCTAGGAATTGTAGTTTTTCCATTATAACATGCAAACGCGGTCTTATAATCAGTTCGGAATAATTTTAGTAGATGCAGAATTTAATTCTGTATCTCCTGTATCGAAAATTTATTGCCAGAAAGGAATTCCATAACATGAGTTATATTGATGGTTGTGTATACGCATTTGAACTCGTTGCGCTAGAAATTGTTGTTTTTCTAACATAACACGCGAACGCTTTGTCTTGCAAATCCAGTTCGGAATAATTTTACACTGGTAGATGCAGATTCAGTTCTGTATCTCCTGTATTGGAAATTTATTGCCGGATAATTTTTGCGCGAGTTATATTCATAGTTACTGAGTATGCGCACGTACTCGTTGCGCTAGGAATTGTAGTTTTTCCATTATAACACGCGAACGCGATCTTATAATCAGTTCGGAATAATTTTATTAGATGCGGAATTTAATCCTGTATCTCCCTGTATCGAAATGTATTGCTAGAAAATTCCGTAACGCGAGTTATATTGATAGTTGGTATTATACGCGCGTACTCGTTGCGCTGGGAATTGTAGTTTTCCATTATAACACGCGAACACGGTCTTATAATCAGTTCCGGAATAATTTTAGTAAATGCGGAATTTAATTCTGCGTCTCCTGTCATTAAAGTTTATTTGCCCGGAAATTTTTAACGCGAGTTATATTGATAGTTGTGGTATGCGCACTTACTCGTTGCGCTAGGAATTGTAGTTTTTCCATTATAACACGCGAACGCGGTCTTATAATCAGTTCGGAATAATTTCAGTAGATGCGGAATTTAATTCTGTATCCCCCTGTATTAAAATTTATTGCCGGAAAATTTTTTTACGCGAGTTATATTCATAGTTTTGTGTATACGCATTTGAACTCGTTGCGCTAGGAATTGGAGTTTTTCCATTATAACACGCGAACACGGTCTTATAATCAGTTCGGAATAATTCTAGTACATGCGGAATTTAATTCTGCATCTCCCTGTATTAAAGTTTATTGCCGGAAAATTTTTTAACGCGAGTTATATTGATAGTTGTGAGTATGCGCACTTGTACTCGTTGCGCTAGGAATTTGTAAGTTTTCCATTATAACGCGCGAACGTGGTCTTATAAGCAGTTCGAATAATTTCAGTAGATGCGGAATTTTATTCTGTATCCCCACAATGTTTAAAATTTGTGCCGGAAAGGGTATTTTTTTACGCGAGTTATATTCATAGTTGTGTGTATACGCATTTGAACTCGTTGCGCTAGGAATTGTAGTTTTTCCATTATAACACGCGAACGCGGTCCTATAATCAGTTCGGAATAATTTTAGTAGATGCGGAATTTAATTCTGTATCTCCCTATATCGAAATTTATTGCTATAAAATTCCGTAACGCGAGTTATATTGATAGTTGTGTGTTTATGCACTTGTACTCGTTGCGCTAGGATATGTAGTTTTTTTGTTATAACACGCGAACGCGGTCTAATTCTAAGTCGGAATAATTTTTGTTGGATGCGGAATTTAATCCTGTATCTCCTGTCGAAATTTATTTGCTAGAAATTCCGTAACACTTGAGAGTTATATTGATGGTTGTAATGTTTAGAGACTTACAGCCACTCGTTGCGCTATGATATGTAGTTTTGTTGCATAACATGCAGACGTGCGTTAATTCTAAGTCCGGAATAATTTTATTGGATGCGGAATTTAATCCTGTATCTCCCTGTATCGAAATTTATTGCTAGAAAATTCCGTAACGCGAGTTATATTGATAGTTGTGTGTTTAGGCACTTGTACTCGTTGCGCTATGATATGTAGTTTTTTGTTGCATAACATGCAGGCGTTACAATTCTAAGTCGGAATAATTTATTGGATGCGGAATTTAATCCTGTATCTCCTGTATCAGGAAATTTATTGCTAGAAAATTCCGTAACGCGGAGTTATATTGATAGTTATTGTGTTTTGCGAGACTTGTACTCGTTGCGCTATGATATGTAGTTTTTTGTTATAACATGCGAACGATGGTCTAATTCTAAAGTCGGAATAATTTTATTGGATGCGGAATTTAATCCTGCCCATCTCCCTGTATCAGGGTATTGCTAGAATTCCGTAACGCGAGTTATATTGATAGTTGTGTGTTTAGGCACTTGTACTCGTTGCGCTATGATATGTAGTTTTTTTGTTATAACACGCGAACGTGGTCTAATTCTAAGTCCGGAATAATTTTATTGGATGCGGAATTTAATCCTGTATCTCTCTGTATCGAAATTTATTGCTAGAAAATTCCGTAACGCGAGTTATATTGATAGTTGTGTGTTTACGCACTTGTACTCGTTGCGCTAAGATATGTAGTTTTTTTGTTGTAACACGCGAATGCGGTCTAATTCTTAGTCCGGAATAATTTTATTAGTAGCGGAATTTAAATCTGTATCTCCCTGTATCGAAATTTAATGCTAGAAAATTCCGTAACGCGAGTTATATTGATAGTTGTGTGTTTACGCACTTGTACTCGTTGCGCTGGGATTAATAGCCAGTTTTTCTTTTGTTATAACACGCAGACAGTCCTAATTCTAAGTCCGGCATAATTTTATTAGTAGCGGAATTTAATTCTGTATCTCCACCATCGAAATTTAATGTAGAAAGGATTCCGTAACGCAGGTTATATTGATAGTTGTGTGTTTACGCACTTGTATCGTTGCGCTAGGATACAGTATGGTTTCTTTTGTTATAACACGCAGACATGATCTAATTCTAAGTCCGGAATAATTTTATTAGTAGCGGAATTTAATCCTGTATCTCCCTGTATCGAAATGTATTGCTAGAAAATTCCGTAACGCGAGATATATTATTTATTATTTATTGTGTTGTTAGTTGCATTTCTTTTATCGCGTAGAGTAACACAATTTTTAGACGTATTTCGTGCATTGCATCTGCGGTCTATGTTCCTTATAATATGCATGATATTCAATGCATACTATGTAGAATTGTGCTGGCATCTTACACTGTTACTATCTGTGTTTTAGAAACAAACAAGGTTTTGTTTATCTTCAACTTGTGTGCCGTCGCCACATTCTCAACTTTTACGCGGTCAACAAACTGTGTTAGTCTAATTTTGATCGTCAGGGTGAATTGTGCGCTTCGCGAACCTTTAAATTTCTTAATTTTCTTTGCGCGTTATTATGTAAGATTCCTAATTGTCCTGTAATTGATCTGTTCGGTTACTTTTGAGGGTGATGTGCGGTGTTTGTTAAACACTTGGGTAGTATATTTGCAAAAGTGCGTGTGAATGATGTACGGTATCGTCATGCGTCAGATATACTTCGATTATATTCATTTAATGTAAAAAGTCGTTATCAACTACATTTTGAATTTAATTAGTTTCGTACTCTGGTATTAACGCGTGTTTGCTGTAATGTGCCTAATTAATAAGTGATTGGATACTTCAAAAGCGAAAAATTTATTTTGCATCAAGGTATGTTTTCATATTTTCTAAAGAGATTTTTTGATTAATTTCATGAAACACTTGACAAACGCATGATTTTAACTACAAAAATAAATGTTTTCTTTACATCAACATTTATCACTATGTATTATTCTAAACATAGACCAATTAATAATTTTTTTGTTTATAATAGTTTCATATTTACATTTAAAATTGATTTATAGATTGCTGTATTAATTTAGTCTTTTATCGTGTTGAATATTACCCATTAGAATACTCGTTGTTCAAGATTGTAGTCTGCCGTCGGCTGCTTACTTTCAGCTCTCACTGCGGGATGCAACATGTACGAGTACGTGTTGTTTATATCTCATACTCGTATGTTGCATCTCATATTCATATTTGTAATTTGCAATTGATTTATAGATTGCTCTATCAATTATGTCTTCATCCCGTTTAACACATTAATTGTTGAAGTTTGTCGCGTGCCGTCGGATGCGTTTCTGTGCCCTCGCTGCAACCTACGACTTGTAACGGTGCTGCTCGCTCACTGATTTACTTGTACAATAAAGTGGTATTTGAGTTTGAATTTTTTATATCATTTAACCATTCACTTTTTCTTATTATCCAGAGGGAAAATGACTTCATCTTAATTGTTCTGTTTTTTGTAATGTTCGTTTTAAAAATGTAATTGTTTTCTTCTCATCATCTTGCCTTATCGCTGTATTGTTTTTAGCCGTTCATTTCTATTAATTAAATATTAGTTTTCCTTTTTGATTCACCTGTATATAAATTTTCCTTGTGCTTCTGTGAAAAACCGATAAACAAAGTAATGTTTCCTTTGATATTTCCCTCCTTGAACTTTTGATTTTTCTTTCAGTAACGCAGTATATTAGTTTCCCGTTGTGCTTTTCAAAAGTCATCAAGATCGAGTATTTTCAAGTTTGTACTGTACATTTGCTGTTCAACTATAATAATAATTTTCTTTTCTAACACCCTGTACATTAGTTTTCCGTTGTGTTTATGCAAAAATGGATTCTAATATACGTTTTCCCCTTGTAGTTTGAGTTTTGTTTTAAATATTATAATTTGTTTTCTTTTTTTGTAACACCCTGTATGTAGGTTTCCCATCCATTGGGTGAAAAACCAGCGATATTTGTTGTGCTTAAATGTTTTGAACCAATTTTATATTTTTCATTTGTAACACCCTGTATATTTGTTCCACTGACGTAGAAAATGGGCTATTTGCTAATTTGTTTATCCTTACTTTATGAAGTGGTACTTGCTATTTTAGCTGGCGTTAGATGTGCGCGGCTAAGAAGGTCGTAAAGTCCACTGTTCAATATGGCGGCACGAATTCCGTTGACTTGTAAAATCAAAACTTGTATTCTATTGTTAATAAAGAAATAGTAGGAATATATTGACTGCTTTCATTTTATGTGTTCGCCCAGCCTATCATTACAGGTAGGAGTCTCTCTAAGAGAGAGAGTTCCCTCTCTCAGGGGATGATCCCCTCTATAAAAATTGTTAAGGTATCTGTATGATTTGGTAGTATCCATCTTTCATTTTTCAGCTACAGGTCAGAACTTGTAAGAATATTTTTAAATTAATCCCTCTCTTGAGGCGACTTAAAAAATTAAATATTATTTTACAAGTCCTTAAAAAGGATGTCCTTATAAGGGAGTTCCTCTCTCTGGGGTGATCCCCACCATAAAATTGTTGATATGCCTGATAATTTCGGGGATGAAGCGCAGAGACATCGGCGTAGCTGTAGGATGGGCCACGGGGCAATGGAAGAATCGAAGCGGTGGGCGATCGACCAAGAGCGCCTCCGGCGCTCTGGAGATCGGCTTTATGACTGTCTATAACGACACGTGCCAAAATTTAAAAATCTGACCCTCCCATGTTCTCTTTCTTCTATCTCCTCTACTCTCTTCTCTACTCTGTTCTCTTCTACTTCTTCTTATTCTCTTTTTTTTCCCTGTTCTCGTTTCTCCATTTGCTTTCTTACTTCTCTTATTGCCTTCACTTGTATTTCAATTTCTCTTATATTTCGTTGCAATTCATATATGCAACCCAAATTACACCTGATATTTTTATATTTGAGAAAAATGCCTTCTGCAGCTGGGATTCGATCCGTGTCCGCTGGCATGCCAGCAGGTGCACGTCTCCACTCGACCACCGAGTGTTTTTATCATTGTTATTTGATTCTTCTATTTATGTTTCTAAATTTATCATGTTTTTAAAAACAACAACACAATTCAAGCAACAGTTATGTTATACCTGCGCCACGCACTTAAGTTATATGCCATACTATTTAATACTGAAAACGACAAAGAGGGTACCAAATAGAAATGTGAATAAGATTATAAATGTAATAAGTGTTTTATTAATAACTTTTAAAAATACATACATAGCTTTTAAAGACTTGCCTTAAAGTACGCGCATCTCCAACACTTCCGCTATAGGTATTGCAAACTCCATGGATCGGTCACTCACAAACTTCTTCTGGGCACCAACGTTGTTTATCTGCAGGAAATAATTATAAATCAAAGTTTCTCCTATATGTCGATGGACACGCACGCTGTGCACATGTACTCGTAGACCAACACGACTTATATTCAGCGACGGCCGACGGAACATCACACGCGCACCGGTAAACTGACGATTAATTCGCGGTTATTGAACATTCAATGCGTGCAATTACGTATTAAAACCACGTCCCCGGTGTGTACTGGCAATTGGGTATTGAAAATCGATAAATTTTCTTACTAACGATTTAAAGAATCAAAAATAGTCGCGATGAACACGCGATTCATTCGGCAACCGGAATGGAACTGAGTGTGCACAGCTAACGGCGAGAACACGCGGTTACTATCAGTATTGCGATACGTTCAATGCAACAAACAAATGAATCAAACACGCGAATAGCACCGCGGCGCAAACCAGACTAAACAGGTGAACGAATTGATAGCAACAACAAATGACGGCGATACTAGCGCTATCTAGGCGTCGGAATCTAAATCTATTTACGAACTGTAATAAATTGTCCGATACTATCGCCATCTAGGTGTGGTGGTCCGAATCTTTCAACAACTGTAATAAATTGTCATTCACTAGCACCATCTAGGTGTATCAGTGCAAACCAATTGATAGCAATCCTCTGATTTACAGAAAGCTGTAATTCAGCATTTTAGACTTACCGAGCGGCCTATTTTATATCTGGATTAAGCAAAATTTAAATTGGATTGGAAATTACTTTACCTTTTTGATCTCTGCTACTCGGTAAGTTACCGCCCAAACGCTACAAAAATAAATATATACAGAAAATTGTTATATAAATTGATTCCTGGTTGTAAATGTTCGTGAAAATTTCAAAAATATTTTAAGGCACTTCTACCGTGATTTCGGGAGGCGGCAAGCACGCATCATGTAAAATGTATCTGGCGGTATCAAAATTCGAAAAAATTATTGAAATCGCACCAAGGGTTCCCGAGTTACAGCCAAATTTCCACCGAGTGTTTAAAAAAATCACAAACATCGCGAAAATTTCAAGACGATTTTAAGACACTTCTAGCGTGATTTCAGGGGGCGGCATACGCGCATCTCGTAAAATGTATCTCGCGGTATCTAAATTCGAAAAAATTATTGAAATCGCACCAAGGGTTCTCGAGTTACAGCCAAATTTCCACCGAGTGTTTAAAAAAATCACAAACATCGCGAAAATTTCAAGACGATTTTAAGACACTTCTAGCGTGATTTCAGGGGCGGCAAACGCGCATCATGTAAAATGTATCTCGCGGTATCTAAATTCGAAAAAATTATGGAAATCGCACCAAGGGTTCCCGAGTTACAGCCAAATTTCCACCGAGTGTTTCAAAAAATCACAAACATCGCGAAAATTTCAAGACGATTTTAAGACACTTCTAGAGCGTGATTTCCGGGGGCGGCAAACGCGCATCATATAAAATGTATCTCGCGGTATCTAAATTCGAAAAAATTATTGAAATCGCACCAAGGGTTCCCGGGTTACAGCCAAATTTCCACCGAGTGTTTCAAAAAAGCACAAACATCGTGAAAATTTCAGACGATTTTTGAACTTACTTCTAGCGTGATTTCAGGGGGCGGCAAACGCGCATCATATAAAATGTATCTCGCGTATCTAAATTCAGAAAAAATTGTGAAATCGCGCAAGGTTCCAGTTACAGCCAAATTTCCACCGGTGTTTAAAAAATCACAAACATCGCCGAAAATTACAAGACGATTTTTAAGACACTTCTAGCGTGATTTCAGAGGCGGCAAACGCGCATCATGTAATATGTATCTCGCGGTATCTAGAGATTCGAAAAAATTATGGAAATCGCGCAAGCGTTCTCGAGTTACTCAAATTTCCACCGAGAGTGTTTTTCAAAAATCACAAACATCGTAGAAGAAATTTCAAGACGATTTTAAGACTTGCTTCTAGCGCGACGATTTCCAGGGGCGGCAAACGTGCATCCAGGTAAAATGTATCTCGCGGTATCTAAATTCAGAAAAAATTATGGAAATCGCACCAAGGGTTCTCGAAGTTACAGCCAAAATTTCCACCGAGTGTTTCAAAAAATCCTGAAACATCGCAAAAAATTTCAAGACGATTTTAAGACACATCTAGCGTGATTTCATGGGGCGGCAAACGCGCATCATATAAAATGTATCTCGCGGTATCTAAATTCGAAAAAATTATTGAAATCGCACCAAGGGTTCCCGAGTTACAGCCAAATTTCCACCGAGTGTTTTCAAAAGCACAAACTATCGTAGAAATTTCGAACGATTTTCAAGACACTTCTAGCGTGATTTCAGGGGCGGCAAACGCGCATCATGTAAAATGTATCTCGCGGTATCTAAATTCGAAAAATTATGGAAATCGCACCAAGGGGTTCCCCGGTTACAACCAAATTTCACCGAGTGTTTCAAAAAATCACAAACATCACACGAAAATTTCAAGACGATTTTTGCAAGACACTTCTGAAAGCGTGATTTCAGGGGGCGGCAAACGCGCATCATATAAATGTATCTCGCGGTATCTAAATTCAGAAAAAATTATTTAAATCGCACCAAAGGGTTCCCAGTTTTGAAGCTAAATTTCACCGAGTGTTTCAAAAAGCACAAACATCGTGAAAATTTCAAGACGATTTTAAGACACTTCTAGCGTGATTTCAGGGGCGGCAAACGCGCATCATATAAAATGTATCTCGCGGTATCTAAATTCGAAAAAATTATTGAAATCGCACCAAGGGTTCCCGAGTTACAGCCAAATTTCCACCGAGTGTTTCAAAAAAGCACAAACATCGTGAAAATTTCAAGACGATTTTAAGACACTTCTAGCGTGATTTCAGGGGCGGCAAACGCGCATCACTTATAAAATGTATCGCGGTATCTAAATTCGAAAAAATTGTGAAATCGCACCAAAGTTTCCCCGAGTTACAATAGGGAGAATTCCACCGAGTGTTTAAAAAATCCTGAAACATCGCAGAAATTACAAGACGATTTTAAGACACTTCTAGCGTGATTTCAGGGGCGGCGAAACGCGCATCATATGTAATATGTATCTCGCGGTATCTAAATTCCGAAGAGTATGGAAATCGCGCAAGCGTTCTCGAGTTACCTCAAATTTCCGCGAGTGTTTAAAAATCCCACAAACATCGTGAAAATTTCAAGACGATTTTAAAAGACGCTTCTGGCACGCGATTTCAGGGGCGGCAAACGTGCATCCAGGTAAAATGTATCTCGCGGTATCTAAATTCGAAAAAATTATGGAAATCGCGCACCAAGGGTTCTCGAGTTACAGCCAAAATTTCCACCGGAGTGTTTCAAAAATCACAAACATCGCAAAATTTCCAAGACGATTTTTAAGACACATCTGGCGGCGTGATTTCAGGGGGCGGCAAACGCATCATATAAAATGTATCTCGCGGTATCTAAATTCGAAAAAATTGTGAAATCGCAAGAGGGTTCCCGAGTTACAGCCAAATTTCCGCGAGTGTTTCAAAAAGCACAAACATCGTGAAAATTTCCAAGACGATTTTAAGACACTTCAGCGTGATTTCCGGGGGCGGCAAACGCGCATCATGTAAAATGTATCTCGCGGTATCTAAATTCAAAAGAAAAAAAGAGTATGGAAATCGCACCAAGGTTCCCGAGTTACAACCAAATTTCCACCGAGTGTTTCAAAAAATCACAAAACATCACGAAATTTCAAGACGATTTAAAAGACACTTCTAGCGTGATTTCCAGGGGGCGGCAAACGCGCATCATATAAAACATCTCGCGGTATCTAAATTCGAAAAAAATTATTTAAATCGCACCAAGGGTTCCCGAGTTACAGCCAAATTTCCACCGAGTGTTTCAAAAAAGCACAAACATCGTGAAAATTTCAAGACGATTTTAAGACACTTCTAGCGTGATTTCAGGGGGCGGCATACGCGCATCTCGTAAAATGTATCTCGCGGTATCTAAATTCGAAAAAATTATTGAAATCGCACCAAGGGTTCTCGAGTTACAGCCAAATTTCCACCGAGTGTTTAAAAAAATCACAAACATCGCGAAAATTTCAAGACGATTTTAAGACACTTCTAGCGTGATTTCAGGGGCGGCAAACGCGCATCATGTAATATATGTATCTCGCGGTATCTAAATTCGAAAAATTATGGAAATCGCACCAAGCGTTCTCGGAGTTACCACTCAAATTTCCACCGAGGTGTTTTCAAAAAATCCACAAACATCGGTAGAAAATTTCAGACGATTTGGGCAACTTCTAGCGCGATTTTAGGTGGCGGCAAAGCTCGCATCATGTAAAATATATCTCGCGGTATCTAAAGTTTAAAGAATTATTGAAATTGCACCAATGGTACCCAAGATACAGCCAAATTTCCACCGCGTGTTTCAGAAAATTACAAAAGTCGTGAAAATTGCCGGACGATTTTAAGGCACTTCTAGTGTGATTTCGGGAGGCGGCAGAGTCGCATATTCAAACATACAAAAACGTGTAGCCTGCAGCAATACGCGGACTGTGCAAGATCTGCACGCCAAAAAAACTTGTTTACACACTGACATTGATAAACGCGGAGAGACAAAATCGATAACAATTATTGTGTGTAGCGACTAAGATGCTGAAATCTTCTGGAATTAATTGAATGCTAAACTTACCAGTGAAATGATGGTGAACTACCCTGATGTCCCCCCAGTTCGCAGCAAACACATGCCGGAGATGCTGGATGTCTTCTATACATGATGGATACCGATAAGCGCGTATAAAATGAATTCCTTATTAGCAGTTTCGATTAATGGCGAACTTTAACCAAAACAAACGAGACTTGCAAGAGAAACGCGTGCAAGCACACCGGCACCATTAAGACGACTACAATACGTTCGATATTTATCGAGCATACTCGTTTAACTTTGTAAAAACGTCACTAGCGCCAAGTGTCACAGTACGGTTTGACGCAGAACTAAAAAAATTCAAAATGTTCAAAATTCCGGAATCTTATTAGTTTAAAAGTTTCGTTATTATTGCGCAATAACTAACAAACATAAAGTCATCGTCAAGGTAAATTGTGTTTATTAATGATGGATATTACAAAACAATCATTTACCTGCATCCTCCTTCAAACCAACAGTTTTATTGAACACAATCTGTAATCAAATAATCAAAATTAATATTTAAACAAAACAATCAATTGTATTTGCACTTACCCTATCTCTAGTTGTATCCGGATCAACAGAAAAGAATCCCAATCGTTCAAATTGGAACTTATCATAGACTTTTGCTGATTTGATTGATGCATCAGCCAAACCATTAGCAATTTTCAAAGAATCCAAGTTGCAATCGGTAATAAAACCGCCGGGAACTTCAGCGGGATCTTCCGGATTCTTATGTTTAAAGAGTGTTTCGTAAATTCGTATATCAACATTAACCGGATCACTGACCCAATGTATGAATGCTTTTGGTTTGCTGGTAACTTTATCTACTTCTGTACATTTGCAAACCACTTCAATTACATCTCCATTGTTAGCTTTGACAATATCAACAACTTCCAAGACATAACCAGCATGCCTCAAACCCACAGATTGGGTTTTCGTCAAACGACGATAACCCTTATCTCCGACTTCCATAAAGTCGGATTTTTCGATGTAGATAATTTGATTAAAACACACATCATGATTACCCAATTCAGGCCTGTTGGGGAAGTTAGGTACAGGTATTTTAGTAACACCAGCATGAGGGAAGTTATTAATGATTACTTTCAGTGGCTCCACCACGACCATTACTCTAGGTGCGTGAATATTTAAATAATCACGGACAAATGCTTCCAACATTCCTGGATCTACTGTACTTTGAGCTCCTGTTACGCCTAGTTGCGCGCAGAAATTATTAATAGCCTCAGCTGGGAAGCCTCTTCTCCTCAGGGCAGTCAAAGTGAATAGTCTCGGATCGTCCCAATCTTTGACGATGTTCTCATCGATAAGCTTAGCGATTTTTCGCTTGGAGACAACAGTGTAGTTGACATTAAGTCTACCATACTCCCACTGCACAGGGCAGTATATAGACAAAGCATTGCACAACCAATAATAACTAGATCTACGAGATTGGAACTCTTTGGTGCATAATGAATGCGTGATGTTTTCGATACTATCGCAAAGACAATGAGTGTAGTCGTAAGTCGGATAGATGCACCATTTTGATCCGGTACGATGATGAGGCGTGAATCTAACCCTATAAGCTACAGGATCTAATTTACCTTCTTCCAGAGTGATTTTCATTCGGAGAGTTGCAGCACCCTCATCAATTTTTCCATTTTTCATGTCTTCAAATAGTTGCAAACTTTCTTCAACTGGTCTATCCCTCCATGGAGATGGTTCTGGGTTGAACCCTTTCATTTCATCAGCAGTCTGATGGCAGATGTAGGCCAAACCATTCTTAATCAACTGTACAGCCCATTGGTATAATTGATCAAAATTGTCTGATGAATGGGTGATCTTTGCAGGTTTGTAACCTAGCCATTCTACCATATCTCGAATGCCAATGAAAAACTTTTCTTCTTCTTTTTCGGGATTTGTGTCATCATAGCGCAGGTAGCAAGTACCATTATTGGCAGCAGCATAGCCAAAATTGATGTTGATTGCCTTAGCGTGGCCAATATGTAAGATACCGTTCGGTTCCGGGGGGAAACGAGTACGAATTTTACCACCCGTGATTTTTAAATGCTCTTTTAATAAATCATGAGTCTTTTCGGTGAGGACATACCCGTCTGTTTTGAAGTTCTCGCCCGGTTTATGGAAGTTTAGTTTCTTCATTACATCTATAATTGTAAGAGCTTCAACAGACTCAGATTCTTTGGTAACATCCTTTTGGGGTTTTGATGGTTTAGCTGGCTTCTTTTCTTTTGGTAATGGTGCAAGATCAGCATTAGTTTTTATTCCCAAAATGTCCAAAATCTAACAAAAATTAATTCATTATGTTAAATTTTACAATATAAATATGATTGAATTTACCTGTAAATCAACTTCATTTTTCACTGCTTTTCCATCAGCCCATGGCAAAGTAGTTCTTACTCTCTGCATAAGTGGCCCTGCATTATATCTGTACCTCTTCTCGATCAATTCTGGTTTTATAGCATTGATTTCTTGCTCGACAACCTTTTCAATTTCTTCAGGTGTAACTACAATGCCCACACCACAGAACTTTTCAAATTCAGCAGCATTGACCTGGTTTACATTAGCTAGGGTAAATTCAATTGCTTTTTCTACCCTTAAAGTACTATCTAACTTCTTCAAAATGATGTATTTTATGATGAATGATAAATGGTGTTGCATCTGTGGCTTGAGTTTAGTTGCCAAATGATACAGAAGTATTCCCACTCCTTCTGGCAGTACAATACCTCTCACCTATAATACAGAGAAAGCAATTATAAGATGATTACTGAATTACTTTCAAATCTCTTACCTCATTCAATATCACTTTGAGGGTTTTCGTCACGTTGGCATTTTTCAATGTTTCTTTAGCTTTTTGTTCACTTAAACCCAAAGAGACAAACTCTTTTATAGTTTCGTCGTCTTGAGACATTTTTATAATCTAAGTTTTAATGCCCAGATGTTTGGTAGAGAGGAGAAAACGTGCGATGTGCTAATGCTTGCTCATTCGTTTTTGAACTGAGTTGGAGATTGTTGAAGATGCGCTATTTCATCATCACATGCCGCCTATTAAGGTTAAAGCGGTAGTGTGGGTTGCATATCTTCATAATGTTGCAAAATGTGATGTGCAGTGAATCACGGTAAACAATAATTATTAGATTGTTCAGTTATAAATGTTGATAAATAACTATCAGTAAATTAAAATTGTTTCTTTAGTTTTTTAAAACTAACTTCTATTTTGCAGAAGTTACAAAATTCTACACAGTTCTAAATCATATCGGTATCAATAACAAAAGTGCGTATCTCCATTGGATTGAGCACAACATCAAACTTATCATCAACATAGACGTAGTACTCCATAGCCTCGTGTTTCCTTGGCGGTCTCTTGATATCATTGCTTTCCATTTGATTCTTCCTGTATAGTGCAGATCCGCGACGCCATTTTTCCTCCAGTTCGTCGGTTGTAGTCTGGTAAGAAGTATAATAGTCAACAAAATCTTCAACACGTGCAATGGGACCTGACTTAAATTGCATACGCTTGTTTTGTTCCACCCATTGATTACCACCTAGAGTGGTCTCTCTAAAGGAGAGGATTTTAAAGGGTTGGAACAAATTCTGCAAATTAACTTTAACAGGCTGAGATAGGGTTGTATCTTCGTCTTTCTCCATGATGTGTTCCAAGCGCAGAAGCAGAGATTTTGCCTTCCATGGTTCCAAAGTAAGTATGTGGACGTTTTTGGGGAGACTTTGAGTTAACCCAGAATACTTCATGACATATTTAGCTTTATAATCAGTGAAGGAAAGTCCTTGAGTTGATGATAAGAAAGTCCATGCTTGGAGGAGTTTCTTCTGGGCTAATTCACGTTCATATGCTGCCAAACCATCTTGATTAATGTATTCACCCAGGACAATATAGTGAGAACCTCGAACAACTAAACCCTTATCAAATTGTGTTTCATTCAGAGCTTCGCCAACACCAAACGCGTCATCGTGAAGACATCTCCGGTGCAACATCAATTCAATTTCGCCATCTTGGAGACTAGTACCACCCTGTGCGCGGTCATTTAATACTGCCACCTCCAAATTATTGGTAGGATCCCGAATCAAAATCTTAGCCGTGACGGGGTAATAATTTCCGGGAACTGGTTCCGTTAGGTTTAGTTTCCATGAGGGTCGGAAGTCCTTCACACGTTTCAACATTTCACGTCCGTTCGAATCAGTGTAGAAGGTGGACTCAGTTTTAAGTTGCGTTGTGTATTTGGTCACTACTTCTTTACCAATTTCGTCACTAAAATCAAAAAGTAAGTAACCGGGACAAGAAAATATTTAAGACTTACTCAATGGGAATAGGGCCAATTAACCACTCAAACTCCACGTGGTCTTCACCTTCGTATACCCTTACAACTTGGGAGATCCAGTCATTGAAGACTTGATGCAGTTCGGTAACAAGCGCACCTTGATATATGGAGTTCTTGACAATGTCCACGACGTTATGGAGGGTACCATTGGGACGGAAGATGTACGCACCAGAAGACCTGGTATCATAGTTGCGGTTATCCCCAGACGCGGAATGATAATAGAAAAAGTCGTTCTTGAATGGGACGTCTTTACCATTCATAGAGATCTCGAAGATTTTTCCGGAGACTTCATCAATTTTGATGAGGATATTCTATATCATAACAAAAAATGTTTTTAATAACAATTTAAGGCGTAGGTCAGTAATACTTACTCCACTTTGGAAATCCTTTACTTGGGACACTTTGGTAACCATGTTCTTTTTGACAACCCGCGCGTAGAATGATTTGAAACCCATTGCGGGTACCTTAAGTGCTTGGAAAATTGCCTCATACTTTGCACCACTGGTCCTGCCTGGTACATTTAGTACAGCACTATGCGCAGGGACAATTTGTACCACTACTTGAGAACCATCCGGAGCTGTCACCTCCAAACCCTCTTCAACAACCGGGAATCGTACATATTGATCAATATCATGACTCAGCGGATTGTAAACGGTAATCACAAACTCTTTCTGGTTCTCAGTAAATTCACACTGACTTATATTCGCTAGCATGCAGGTACTGAAGTCAATTTCCGGTTGTGGTTGTGTCCATTCTTCCTGGTCATCCCTAGGTTGACGTTGTTTCTTCCCAGCGACCAATTTACTCAAAGCTGTGGACATTACTATGTCACATTCTTCAAAACCTTTGCTCAAAAGGCGGGCGTAATCACTAGCCACGTGATCTTTTTCTGTTCCGGTAATAGCATCGTGATGTTGCATGACACCCATAGCTTCCCGCATCACATTAAGATCAGCCCAGTCTTCCGGACCTAGGTTTGTAAGCGTGTAGAGCTGTTTACAAATTTGCAGATAATTATTGCCAATTCGTTCAAAACGTTTGATCGCTGGTTTTGAAGTAAAATATCCGGTCCAGAATGCCGTAGGATCAGACGCATACGGGAAGAAATCATCAGCTTTTGGTTGGAAAGTGATTTTCTTCTTCTGCGCATCATCATGCACAGCCTTCAGATAACAAGATGGCGTCGAATAGAGAAGATTGATATTGGTAGTGTTGCTCTCCGCATTTGCATACCTAAAGGAAATTTAGTAAATTTTCAATTTTTGATTCTTGAATTACGTACTTAATGAGTTTGTCTAAATTCTTAAACCACATGTTGGCATCTTGATAGAAAAAGTCTTCACCCATTGTGATGATGACATTGTCTGTCTGATATACCTTGGATGCGTTTTTGATGTAATCGATGAACTCCCAATCTTTAGAATAAAAAAAAAGATTTACCTGATTAGTTTGTCCAGATTTTTGTACCACATGTGGGCGTCCATGTAGGTAAAATCGCCACCCATGGTCACAATAAGATGGTTGGTCGAGTAGGCTTTCGACCCGCGAGCAACGTATTCAATGAATTGTTTAAGCTACAAGCGACATTAACAACAAGCATAACATAAAGCGGGGCTGGTTTTGCACGAATAAAATCACAGTGCAAAACCAGTGCGATTATTACACAAACAAATAACTTCATCACAGCGAGACAGTCTGTTCAATTACTATTCGCATACGTGATTGTGCGCTAATATACTGCCTGCCTGCAATTTACGATAATTCGCTAGTGAACGATGTGCACTTGAACAACGCCGATACGACAATGAGGCACAAGCAAGGCACTCGAGTTCAAACGGCTAGAGAAGTAGGCGATGATTTCTTGTTCATGTGTGCACCGCATGCATGTGGCACAGAGTTAATATAAATATAAATCCATAAATATATCGAAATAATTCTCTAACATCTCACATCTGTTAATCTCCCATAGCGGCTTGAGAGGGTGACTTTGGTGAACTTCTCTCGCCGATAAACGATATCATATCGAGTGTTTATTTTGTATATTCGGCATTAAACAATGACATAAACAAAAATTATCTGACTAAGATTAATTATAAGTACGAATATCGTGGGAAGAGAATTTTATTAATCGAATGGAAAATTACATAAAGGTGAGTAAAGTGGACGAGTTTAAACTTTGGTATTTACTTTCTTGGGCGTTGCTAATCGCGAGTTGGTCAAATATCGTGAGAACTTTACTCGACCGATACGCATGTTTACCACAATAAAAGTTTTGGTTTGTGTATCTATAAATATTTACATTCAGAACCGAATTAATTTAAAATCAAATTGCTATGCGTCTGGTTTGAAAATAAATCCTGCTCTGATCAATTCTGAACTAATCTGTTTCATAGTTTTACGATGTTTAATTCTACTGCGATGTGGGCGCGTCAACTTTCACCTACGTAAATATAAATATGAACAGAAGAGTAAATCAATTATTTTATAAGAATAAATTTATAAGAATTTTCTTAAAGTTAAAAAAATACTTGGAAGATTGTTTTGGTCAGACTGTCTGCGAAGTTAAAATGTGTACCAACGTCCTTTAAACAGTCTCTTAAGTTGTCAATCAAGTGCACACATTAGTCGCATTAGCAGAAGCGTGCAGCGACTCTATAACCGACATTGATTCAAGCCTCGGTCGTCTCATCGCACAACGGCTTGACATTGTTCACAAGTGCAGAAAATAAATAGTTGTGTGCGTGCAATGCACCCGGCCGATCAGACGTGTAATTTACCGTTCTGTACATCCGCGTCTTCTTTATATATTTATTGCTGTTGTATTCAATTAACACTAAAACAGCACAAAATATGCAATATTTCTTTTTATTTAACATTATTACAAATACACAACCATCATGTTCATGTTTGGTTGAACTTTAGATTTGTTTCGTTTATTTTTAAAACATCTTATCTTTATTTAACACAATACATTAAGTATTAAGTACTATCGTACACAGTCAGAAAAATACATAAATGTCTCTTTGTTCTCGTTCATGAATATGAATAGTGAGTATATTTTTGATATGCGCTGATAACACATACACACATATTAGTTCCATCAATAAGTTAATATCAATTAACGTAGAAATAGTTTAGCTTAGTACCCTGTATTTAATTCATATGGTTCTGGTTCTTGTTGTGATCCTGTGGGATCCATGGACTTTTGGACTTGTTTCGATGTTTTTCTTATTATTATAGGACCGTCTCGAGCATGTCTCAGTCGGGCGTTTCTATCTTCGGCTGAAGATGATTTCCGGGCGCTGGCAGCATGCAGAAAGATTCCGGAGTGAGGTCCTCTTCTAAACTCCCAAGTCTTTGATTCTAGATATTGGAAAAGTTTAGTTTTAATTATTAAATGTTTTTTTTTTAAAATTATTTACTTGATGGATTGATCCGTTCGATCCGATTGCAAGGAGCTGCTTCGCCGAGCCTCGAGAATGTCGTGCTTGATAATCATCTTGGATGTATCTTGCATGCGGATGGCAGACATGTTCTTTATTCCTGTCTGAAACAAATTCGTGTCAAGCAAATTTTAGCAATGAATTAAATTAATTACCGTTTTTGTTACGCAATGCTTGATCTCCTCGTAGTCCAGCTCGACTGTTTCTGGGATTAACCACATTGTTAAACAACGAACTGCAAGACATTGTCGTACAAACTGATGTCCTACCTCTTGCTGATCTAAAAAAATATAAATTTAATAAACATATTCATTTATTTAAAAAATACGAAAATCATACCTAAGATATCGTTCTCTGCATGGGAAAAAATATTTTAAACAATTATGCGACGCAATAAAAACCAAAAAAGCGTGAATATGCGGTTTTAATTCAGCTCGGACTTCACTGTTAAGGAAACAGTACAAAATGGCCACCACAAAACCCTAAAACACACAAAATACAATGATAAAAACAAAAATATTATTTTTTATTGATTGGTATTACATTAAAACTTGCAAAAAGTTGATCAGCAAACAACCAAATAATTTCGACGGTTTCATTGGATGACGAAGACATTCCAATCAAAACAGCGTAATGGATGCCAAACAATGGCGCCAGGACAAGGGTACTCCTCGCCCATTTACGGTAACTTCTTGCTTCTTCCTGATTCGGTGGTTGTAACTTCATATAAATAACCAATGCGATCCTCACGAAAAGATATAAATTTAACTGAAATAAAATTTCATTAAATATTCATCAAAAATAAGGTATAATTGAGTACCATAATAGAAACAGCAGTTGGAATGCGAATAATCCAAAAAGTCATCTTGTCCTGATCATGAGTAGTCCAGCAATATGTATCTTCCATTAAAATCCTGGCTGTGGCCCATGCAGCAACTACCAAAAACGGCATTCCCCATCCGAGGATTATATATTGTGTTATTTTCGTGTGGGAATCCGCAAACATCGATCGAAATATTAAATTGTAAAGATATAATCCCTCCATTAAAATCCAAGAGTAGTTTGCAGTAATGAAGAAGTTAAATAGACTCAAAAATAATTTGCATCTCCAGTTGCTGTTTTTCTTATCGTCCACAATGTATTTATTGCCGTCTATTAGTTTTGTAAGGGAGTTTAAGATTCCGTCCGCGAATAGAAGATCTTTCAATAATCGCATTCCTGCTCGCATTATAAAAGATGCGAAAAGATGCATGTGAAGTTTGTTACGTGCGCAGTGTAGTTTCCTGCGCAGACATCAGCAGAGACACAATTAAACAAAAATTTATTTGCACTATTTTTAATTGTTATGCTTACTTTATGGATAACATTATGAAGAAGGCCAGGACGAGTGTGAAGAAAGAAATTGAGTAGCCTGTGCGTGAGATGATGTTAATTGTTGGGACGTACGCCTTGAGATTGTCCAGCGAGTGCGATTTGTTGATGTCGATGGATACGACGGTGGTATTACTTGGCATACAGTCTTGGTAGTTTGTCCAATTGTACCAGGAGCCGTCGGGTTCGCAAAATTTGGTTGCATTTTGGATCTGAAGAAATAAATAAAGTAAATTTGTGTTAGGTTGCGCCATCTTGTGCGGTGGAATAAGAATAGTTTACAGCTGCGCCATCTCACACATGTTTCCATTACCACTCGCGTTAGTTTGTTTCTCAAGCCGTTTACCTCTGTACGTGAATCCTTAATTAATAATTAAATAATAGTTAATTCAAAGTTGTTTTGTGTTATATTAGTAAACCACAATGCCTAAATCAAAACGTGATAAGAAAGGTATGTGATATATTCTTATTTTTGGCTTTTTTATCGAAAAACATAATATAACCTCAAACTCGCACGTTTCTTTCGTGAAAGTCTATAAACAAACGTTTTCTTTTAGTATCATTAACAAAGACCGACAAAAAAGGTCTTGCATTAAAACAGAGGATTGTCGACGATGTTCGAAGTTGTGTGGAAAAATATAACTCTGTGTATGTGTTCACATGTGATGACATGCGAAATGAGAAAATGAAAGAGATCAGAGAGGAATGGAAGCCAAGCAGATTCTTTTTTGGTAAAAATAAAGTTATTGCAGTGGGTCTTGGTAGAAATAAAGAAGAAGAAGTTCAGGATGACATTCATAAAGTAACTAAAACATGGACATTGTTAAGTGTATAATCGAATATTTGAACGTTAGTCATTCTATTCACCATTGAATTATTGAGTGTTTAATTTACAAACACTTTGCGCCTGATTAATAATTGCAGACGTCGTCTGCTGCTAAAGTTGTGTTATTTTAGTTTTGACGTTTGAACATAAATTGCATTTGAACATGCTCTACGTCTGTGGGTTTATTTTTGTATATCCTGGAAAGCAAATATGCTAGGAAGTGAATATTTGAGATCATCAAAGCCGGGTGTACGGAAGGTGTTCACAACGCAGACACAGGATACGCTTGTATTGAATTGCGAAATTCTAAATTGCAGGTGTTTTTATCGATTTTCCCGTCGCAGAATTTTACATAATGTTGATAGTGTTTGTGTAATTTAAAAATATTTATCTGAATTTTGAAATTTAGGACTTTTACAACTCGTTATTACATCCAACATTTGCATTTATCGACAGGTGAACTTGCAATAAAATTCTTCGCATCTTGCCAGCCACTGTGACGCGAGTTGTGTTGGTCTTTTTGGTTTGGCAGACTGTGCGCGTACCTTATTAGAAACTTGCTAGACACGTCGCCTTCTTCATTTTTTTCTTGGTTCTTGGCTTGTCGCTAACTTAGAACAAGTTTTACGTCGTGGGCGGCCCCGGCGTTTGCGTGTATGAAACGAGACGTTGACTCGACATAACGATTTGTGTTTCCGCTCTTCTGCACAACGGCGTTGGCGAAGGTGCCGGGCTGCAGTGTATATGTATGTGTGTGTGTGTGCATCGCTGCTTGTTTGTTCGGAGACTTCATTAAAAAATCGATACGGAATTGTGACTATTGCAAAGCGGGCTATTATCACTATTTGCACGCGCCGAGGGTAATCAAGACTCCGCGTGAGTATTTATCTTGGTTTCTTATTAGAATTGTTTTCGTCGCTTACCAGTGGATGGTTCTTCAATTGGCGTGGCGATGTCGGCCATGCTTATGCATTCTCTTCTGGCATATTCAATGCCCAAACTTTGGACTTTTTGTAATTGATCCATGGTTATTGCTTTCTATAACTTTCTCACTTAGGGGCCCATGTGTTCAAACTGAAACAACAACATAAATATTTATAATTATACATAAAATTGTGATTTATTATATTACTCAATTACGACGAGAGTAAATTTTAAAAGCTAATCAAAGTTTTTCCAACAGGATATTTATATTTCGGTATGTCATTTAATTAAACTTTTTTTTCTGGTTAAAAAGTTAATGAAAATGCAGAGTCGGTTGTGTAACACAAATGTTGACGTAACAAACAACGAATTCATTAAATAGTACAGTTGTTTTATTTCACTCTAGGTCTGTTTGTTTTATCTCGCCGCGCGGAAAACGTTTTATACTCATTTGATTCATACCTCTACATCAACACTTTACGCAAAAACACAAAAAAAAAAATTAAAAGATAAACGATTACAATTGAAACATTAAAGTGAAATTAATATCTAATTTATCTCCGTACAATCTTTAAATTGATATTGACAAGCGGAAGCCGATAAACTACCCTCTATAGTTTCACAATTCACTTAGTAGATTATGATTAGGATCCGCTTGCTCTGTCTCTTTCTGGGACGTACCTTCTCGGAATGATTCAATATCAATTACTTGATGCTTGATGATTATGAGCAGACGCGTTTCAGTTTGTGCAATGAAACAACAATTTGTAGCAGCTACGTAATAATTTGTGTGCCGATATTGATGATGTTTACGTTCATGTACTACTGGCGGATAATTTCCGCGTTGGGTAAATATTGACAGTGATAATTAGTACAATTGAGTCTATATTTCAACGCGCAAATGAATTGAAACTCAATAACACTTTAAATTAATTCCATCATTTGTAGGATATTTTAAATCCGCTTTTCAACATGTTTTTTTTTTTCTGCTGATGCAATATCTACCCGGAAATTTGAATACGAATGTGGTTTGCCTGTTGGACCGTCCACTGTTACTATGTAAATTGCGAACGATTATTAGCGTTATGATAATAGCCGAAACGAGAATTGCGATTATCCCTGCGCCCCCATTGACTGGGCCCTGCGCCAATTTGCATAGCGGCTTTCCGCTTATAAATTTCCTGCAAACCGCTCGCCAAATAGGTGGTTCATTTATCCAATCTTCCTTATATTACATGCATCCCTTTACTGGGGAGTGCTTGTTGACGCAACAGGAGTATTGCGAGTTGCTTACGCAGGAACTTGTTTATACTGACTAATATTATAAATGCGAATGTAGCGCTGTGCTATGTGGAAACCACACAATCAATTTTGATAAATTTTGGTTTGGGGATTTTTAGACTTAGGGGAATTACATAGGCTACTGCGTGTTGCAGTAATTCTAGTCAAGTAATAAAAAAATCATCAACTCGAACGAAGTCAAGGGTAAAAGCTAATAATATCATTTTCGCAATATCTTAGTGTAAACTTTTACATTACGGTAATAAAATGGGGTTTATGAAATTTGTGCTATATTGTCAGTTGTTACTTGAGTGCAAAGTGAGAATATATGAAAGTTTTGCGTCCTCTAACAACACATTCCGGAAAAGTGCGCCTCTCGCTACGGTAATGCCATTTATTAAAACGACGTTTTATTAAAAGTTCTCAGGCGCATCTAGATAAATTTTATCAACGTGCCCTGGCTATATAAGCGTTCATAATTTGCGCATAATTGCCGCATGAGTGCTTTAGGTTTAATTTCAACGCGGCAAGAAATATTTACTAATACTGTCGTGCGAACATAGCACAAAGCCATAAACACAATTATAAACACATTCTACTCGTATTCTGAAGTGTTTTTTAACCGGTTGTGGATTTATCTCAATCGATTCATTCTAATTTATAAATGACAATACAATTAATATGAAAACGAGCGAATTTAATTTCAATTACTTTTGTTCCTGGAATAATACGAAATTCTTTTATGTTGCGTATTTTTCTTTCATTGTGCTGCTAAAGCGCGTTTTAATAAGTTTTCTTTGGCAAGAAATAGCAGTACTGTACTCGCAAAAAAATAAGAGATTAAAAGAAAAAAGTGTAGCACTTGATTGTACTTGATTAATTTTCCAACAATGCACAATTACTTCGAAGAATTTTTCTTTTCATAATATTTTCTGTATTATTTTTTCACATGTAGACAATATAAAATGATTACTTACTGCATTGTATAATCTATATTATTCCATTATGTGCTTCTTCTATAAATTACTTAAATATGTCACGATACTATAATTCACGCGATATCATATTGTTGCACATGTTTGTTTTGAAATGTGTTCATGCACTCACGCACAGATGAACAGTGAAAATTTAATTGATCTCGATGTACGAATCAGCTTGGTCGCAAACAAGCGGATTAAGAATTGAACAAGTTCGTTAAAAGCGGATTTAAAATTTATTGAGTAGCACAAAAATAACTTAATCTGCTTTATATTGTTTTGGTATAGATAATTTAATTCAGTCACATTATCTATGTTTCCCAATTTGAATCTAATTAGTGTCATCTAAGTTTTATGACTTTTAGATAATATTGAATAATTAATAATCATACCTTATTCTTTTAATTAATTCAATTTAATCATATATAATCCAGGGCTTTTTACACTTCAACTCCGAAAAGTGATTTTGCAATTTGCTACACACTTATAATCACAAAATTACAAAAACCACAAACACTGTCACACTTTGTATAAAAATCCCAAATCATATGATAGAGTTTAGGTTTTATTATCGCACCAACACGTCACTATTTTATCTCTAGCGGTTTGAGAGCGCGTGCACTTTAAATACGATAGAAAAAAGACGATAAATCTATAACAAAGTAAATATTACGAGCGTACAATGAACGGACAAAAGTATACGTCCACAATGCAGCACATTACTAAATCAACTGTCCGGTGCAGTGCGAATCATAAGTTTGGACTTGGAATAACTCAACTTGGACCTCGTTTGTGCATTGTTTTCGATCGTGTTGTATACAGATTTAATTTGAATGCGTCGGCGTCACTGACTAATCGTTTTCGGACATCTTTAAGTCAACATCAACCATATTTAGTTGTTAATTATTATGATTTTATTTGAAAGATTTATTAATGCATTTCTGGAGGTATTTATCGTCATATTTTGCTGTTACTCATAAATGTAGATGTATTAACCACGAAGAATTGCTTGTGCGGTGCTTTGATCGGAAATGTGTCTAATGGCAGATAATAAATGATCGATAATAGTGGCGGATGCGCCGGGCGTCGGCTCGTACCGAATATTCCAACTTCTCGCACGCAATGCAGCCGTTGTTGCCCACATGGTTAACAGCATATCCGATGCAAAGCATGTTGCAAACGTAGGATGTGTGATTTATTCCGCAATCGCTGCAGTACAGGCACTTGCCAATTATGATAAAATATGTGTGATAAATGCTGTAAATAGGGTTTAATTGATGCGTGGGTGGAGAAATCTTTAAAGGCAGATGGATTTGATTGTTTTTAAAGTAGTTCAGAATGAATGATAATAAAAATGATTTATTACCACCAATTTCAAGTGGTTTTCGGGCAAGAGTCACGTAGTATTATTTCCGAATACACTCGGATATAACGGGCGCAGAAAGTCTCGGCCATTGTGTTG